GTACCCGCCCCCCTCCCCCCCTTCACGATGATGTACCTTCTAGAGTATCTTACACCTGAAACCCTAAACATTAAGTCCTTAAACCCTAAGCCCCAAACCCTAAACCCTAAACCCTAACATAGACATAGGGGCCTTTAGTGGGGGATAGTTTGGGTCGACCCAGAGTCTACGCAGGCACCAACCGTTCCCCACCTTCTCATGCCAACGCTCGCTTCACGGGCCCAGGGTCCCTGAGTTCACGTGGCGCGAATCTGGGAAAGCTGCTATAGGGTATACCCGCAGACCCACCCCTCCACCCCGCAACCGCAGCCTCAAGCCCAACAGCTTCAAGTTTTTGGGGTCGAGGGGTTGAAGGTTTGCAATAGGGTTTAGGGTTTAGGGTTTCGGGTTTAGGGTTTAGGGGTTCAAGGTTGAGGGTGACCAGGTCTCAGGGTTTCCCGTACTGCCTTTCAGAAGCCTCGGCCCCTCTGCGAGGTGCGGAGGCATGAACAGGCCTTCAGCCAGGCCCGCCTCTCTTTTGAGCGATGCCTTCGTTGAAGTGGTTTAGGGTTTAGGGTTTAGGGTTTAGGGTTTAGGGTTTAGGGTTTAGGGTTTAGGTGGGGGGGGGTGCAGATTTTTGGGGTTAAAGGGCTTCTGGCTCTGAGGCTTCAGAGCAAAGTGGTTTAGTTCAGCCAGTCTGTCATTGCGTAAGGTCCCTAAGCCAGTCAGCTTCAAACCCGAGGTGCTTGAAGTGCAGCTAGGGTTTAGGGTTTAGGGTTTAGGGTTTAGGGTTTAGGGTTTAGGGTTTAGGGTTTAGGGTTTAGGGTTTAGGGTTTAGGGTTTAGGGTTTAGGGTATTAGGGTTTAGGGTTTAGGGTTTAGGGTTTAGGGTTTAGGGTTTAGGGTTTAGGGTTTAGGGTTTAGGGTTTAGGGTTTAGGGTTTAGGGTTTAGGGTTTAGGGTTTAGGGTTTAGGGTTTAGGGTTTAGGGTTTAGGGTTTCGGCAGCTGCAATGGCAATCAAAGTATTCTCGTCCTCGAATGCAACGTAGGCTGGCTTTGACAGCAAGCCAGTAAACCGAAACTCAATCCTGAAGAGCCCACCCGAAACCCTAAACCCCAAACCCCAAACCCTTATAAACCCTAAACCCTAAACCCTAAACCCTAAACCCTAAACCCTAAACCCTAAACCCTAGACCCTAAACCCTAAACCCTAAACCCTAAACCCTAAACCCTAAACCCTAAACCCTAAACCCTCTGCTGTTATGGACCTTACACATGCCCAGGCAGCGCAGCGGTTCACCGAAGTGGCGAACCAGCCGGGAACTCGCGGAGCTTTCCAACCTGTGTAGGTTTTAGGGTTTAGGGTTTAGGGTTTAGGGTTTAGGGTTTAGGGTTTAGGCTTTAGGGTGGGGTTTATGGGTTGTAGAAGTAGGGTGTGAGGGGGTGTCTACTATATGGGTCGGAATAATTACTAATTAATAGTACTCCCTTAGGGTCCCTTTATACTTGTACTATAGTAAAGGCCCCTATATTAAAATAAGAAGGCTCATGCGTTCATAGGGTGTTTCCGGTTGCAAGGATTTCCAGGACACACGGAGCTTTTTGAGGAGTTTAAGTGTTTTTTGGGGCAGCAGCCCTATAACTCCCCATTCCTAACATCCCGAGAGCCTTGAAGCCCGAAACAAACCCTGGAACTTAAGCCGCACCTTGAAAATGTTGGGAAGTTGCTGGGGCCCATAGTTCACAAAGGGGGATCATAGCGAAGATTGAAGGGACAGCCCAGCAGGCCACCTTCTCCGAAATGGGGATGCGGTTTTGGGCCGTTGACCTGAAACCCCAGACTGCGAACCGAAAACCCCAAGCTCGACACCCTGAACCCCAAAAACCCGAAGCCCTGAAGCTCTGAACCCCAAGCCCCAAACCCTTAAACCCTTAAACCCTTAAACCCTTAAACCCTTAAACCCTTAAACCCTTAAACCCTTAAACCCTTAAACCCTCAAACCCTCAAACCCTCAAACCCTTAAACCCTTAAACCCTTAAACCCTTAAACCCTCAAACCCTTAAACCCTTAAACCCTTAAACCCTTAAACCCTTAAACCCTCAAACCCTTAAACCCTTAAACCCTTAAACCCTTAAACCCTCAAACCCTTAAACCCTTAAACCCTTAAACCCTTAAGCCCTTAAACCCTGAAACGCCCCAAATCCTAACTACCCGAACACCCCAAACCCCAAACCCCTGCCGCGCGCTCCGTGCCTCCGAGGCTGGTGGCCTGGCTGGGACCTCAGGTTCCCTAAGCCCTAAACCCTAAACCCTAAACCCTAAACCCTAAACCCTAAACCCTAAACCCTAAACCCTAAACCCTAAACCCTAAACTGGGCCATTCCTTGAGGTTTAGGGCTTTTGTGCTCGGGCTTCTTCCTGGAGTCATCCTCCAACCTCTTTTGCTCAGCCCCGCACGTGCAATCCCAAGCGTTCCCCCTCCTTTTTCGAGTGATCCCTGGAAGCGAGGTACCCCCCCCCCCCCCCCCCCCGGCCTAAACATTTTTCCTGCTTGGTGGGGCTTAAGGGGGCACCCCATCGAAAACCTCGAGACGCAAAGCTCTCAGCCAAAGAACCAAACCCTGAGCACCGACCCCTGAACCCCATGCTCCCCATTGCCTATCAATTTCCTTGGCAGGGGTTGCGCCGTGCAATTAGGTGGCTATCACTTTAAAATACCTACTAGTTCGTAGGGTTTGGGGTTACAGGCAAACTTTGAGAACCCCGAGCATACTAAACCCTACAGCCCAATCAGTAAAGTCCTTTCGCAGCACCCAGGACGAGTGCCTTGGTTCCGCCTCCCCGACAGGGTTTAGGGTTTAGGAGGGGTGACCCTCAACCCTAAACCCTAAACCCTAAACCCCAAACCCCAAACCCGGGTGGAGGTGGCTGCGGGTTGTGGGGGCTTGAGGCCTCTTCAGACGAGCAGGGTTTCAAGCCAGCGCAGCAAAGCCCCCAAAACATGGCACTTTGTAAGTGTCCCGATGTTGGGGTAAGAGGCAGGGACCCAGGTAGCGTCTTTGGGCTCTCAATGCCGATCTCAGAGGCTAGCTATGATGAAGGTTTGGGGTCTAGGGTTTAGCTTGTCGAATCGGATTTTGAAACGGGGTAGTTTTGGTAGCTGTTTAAGCCATCCTAGTCCCTAAACCCTGAACCCTCAACCGGGTTCGGTTTGAAGAGGGAGTCTTGGGGTTGCGGATGGGGCGGGAGAGGTTCTCGTTTGCCCCGCTATAGTTTTACCAGGTAAAACTATTGTCATTTCCCAACAACTTGAGAGAAGTACAACATATTCCAAACTTAAACGAGCGGGCATCAACAAGAAGCCACAAGACTGTAGAGGAACACAGCTGAACAGTCCCTTGCCGCGCCCCTTTGCCGCGCGACACTTTATGGCTTACCGGGCTTATAGACATAGGGTTTATGACTTGCAGGCTTCGAGGGGATTACAGTTGTCCGGGTCTACTGTGCGATTCGTTTCAGGACGGAGTAGGCTGGAGGGTTGGGTCCATCACTTGAGGCCGGACTCCAAACCCCCAACCCTGAACCCTCGACCCTAAACCCTCAACCCTACACCCTAAGCCCTACAGCCCTCAGCCTTCAACCCTTATCCCTGGATGCCAGGAGCCTCCGACTGCTGGAGGTTCGCCCAGCTCTGCAATTTCAGGGCCTTCGGGCGGGGGGGGGGGGTCAGGGTTTAGGGTTTAGGGTTTAGGGTTTAGGGTTTAGGGTTTAGGGTTTAGGGTTTAGGTTTAGGGTTTAGGGTTTAGGGTTTAGGGTTTAGGGTTTAGGGTTTAGGGTGGGTTTGGGGTTTGGGGTTTGGGGTTTGGGGGTTGGGGTTTAGGGTTTAGGGTTTAGGGTTTAGGGTTCAGGGTTTAGGGTTTAGGGTTTAGGGGTTGGCTGCAGGCGGACAGCTGCTGTCTACGTAACCCCTCAGACAAACAGTATGTTAAGGCCCGTGAAACCTTGTCGTACAAGAGAACTTGGCGCCTGAAGCTGTCCTACCCTAAACTCTAAGCCCGAAGCCTTAAACCCTATAACCCCAAAGATGTAAACCCTAAACCCTATAACACTCAAAGCCAAAGACCCGAACCAATCAACCCCCAAAACTCAAAACCCTAAACCCCCAAAACTCAAAACCCTAAACCCTAGAAACCACCAAAGCCTATAAGCTTAAAGCCTGAACCACCAAAGCCCATAACTTTAAACCCTAAACCCTATATAACCCTATAACCCCCAAAAGCCCTCCCCACAAAAACGAACACCCCTCCATAACTTGAAACCCTAAACCCTATATAACCCTAAACCCTAAACCCAAACCCTAAACCCTAAACCCTAACCCCTATAAGCCCCAACACAATCGCGAGGCCCAGAGGGGCGAGCTCCGCACGGCCGTGGAGCTGCCGTGCACCCAGGGGTTTAGGGTTTGGGGTTTAGGGTGTAGGGTGTGGGGTTTAGGGTTTGGAGTTTAGGGTTAAGGGTTTAGGGATTTGTAGGGTTTAGGGTTGAATTGGGGTTTAAGAAGGTTAACATCCCACCAGACAGAAGAGACAGACTCCTGTGCAGGCCAAGCGACCGTCGGAATAGCCCCTTAAACCCTACACCCTAAACCCTAGACCCTAAACCCTAAACCCTATACCCTAACCCTAACCCTCAACCCTAAACCCCAAGCGAAAGCGGGGAAGCAAGAGAATAGCGACCCGGGGTTCGGCACCGGCCATGCTTTCTTCTTACTGTTGGTTAGTAGGGAATGGGGTAATGAGGTACCCTATATAATCCCTTAAAGGGTGTATATATATATATATATATATAGGGCCCTAATTCCCTCATTCCCTGCTAACCAACAGTAAGTCTTGTTTCTTCCGCAGCTGCTTGAGCTTCGACAGCTCCTATCCCGGGTGTCTTTGTTCGTCATGTTATCGCCATGAGAATACATCTCTTGTGTGATATAGACAAGTTCCCCACGGCATCCGCACCTGTCAGCAATGGCCAGACTCACTGCGTCGCTGCTCCTCCTGTCGCTGCCCACAGCATGGGGACAGGAGCCTACTAGCATGGTGCACTGTACCAATAGACTTGGAATCGTACCGATGTCCGGCAGGAATGTACTGAAAGGACTATTTCAAACTGGAGCTGGAAGCTTGCACACATCTGTGCACTGGAACCCTGTACACATGTGTGCACTCTCAGTCCTGAGATGGGGCCCGAAGTCCGAAAGTTTTGAGGACTTCCTGGCAGTGCGGAACGAGACTAAATCGGCTGCTGGCTGTGGCAGCTACGGCGGGGCCCCGAGCAAGGTAGGCTTACAGTTTCAAGGGTGAGGGTGGCAGCTGCTAACCGGATGTATGCGTGCAACCTGCTCTCAGTGACTGCCAAACGGTCTCAGGCTGCACAAACGGCTGCGGCAGCTGCTTCAATGCTGGGAGCCGCCCCGGAGTCATGTGCGCCGGCTCAGGCCCGCATCCCTGGGGCTTGGGTCATGCAGGCTTAAGAACACAGCAGGGCCCGTAGTGGTAAAAGTAGCAGCATGAGGTACTGTAATAGTAATGTAGAATAAACCAGACTAGAAATGACAGTAGCAACTATGATAGTACTAGGTCTGTGTAGGTTTGGTTTGAGGTCGGATGGCCTCAGTAGAATCGTGTCACAGGTCGACATAGGTGGGACTCTCGAGTGTTGATTGGCCGCGCATTGGCTACTGACAGCACTGACAGGCGGCCAAAACATGGGCTTTCCACCGCGTAGTGCTCACAGCCACGGGAATGATTGGCATCCGCTTCGAGGCACCTACGGGCATAGGCTGCTGCGCAACCTACACGCGACAGGCGGCCAACGTGGCTACCACTGCCCAGCCGAGCCCAATGGCAACGGTGATGCTACGTACGCCTGCCTTGCGACCTGGCTTTCTTGGCTAGTAAGCTTGCAGTTTTTTGGCTTCGGAAGTCCCAAAATGCACAGAACGCACTAGAGTCTAGACGCGGAGCCCTGACAAGATCTGGTATCACGTCTCAATCAGCAATTGAGGCAGCCACAGTTTGGGTTTGTCGTGTTGCAGTTGCAGCGGGGACTTTCAAGCCCGAAAAATGGGAGTGTCTATCAACTCCGAGGACTGGACCTTCGGCAGTGCGGCGATGCGGGCCGGGGAAGCCCAGTTTCGGCAGCAGACGGGCGAGGAGGCGCCTCTGGAATCACTTGGGTAGTTCGGCGCTTGCTAACCGACATGATTTCACGAGTCAGTCCCTACTCCTGTGTGAAGCACCTCTGCTTGATTGCTACGCCTATGTTGATGGCCACAAGAACATTCCGAGCTCAATAGGCATGTGGCTCCGCCTCACTTCATTCTATGTCAAGCACCTTGCAGTTAACACTCAGTTCACGCCCAGTTAACGCTACAGTTAACGCTAAAGTTAGCGCTTCGGAAATGCTGGTTCTAGCTTTTTCATTCGAAGACCAGGAAACGCTTGGGGATGAATTAAGTTGCAACACCCGGCCCCAAGACCTCCCCACCTCGCAACCCCAATCCGCCCCAAACCCTTGAACGCCTTTAGCCATCGGATATGCCATGGATCAGAAACGGTACGCCTGGGACCATGCTAAATCTTAACTTTGTGGTGCTTTACTGTAACTTTAGATCCTTAGCCTTTTTGGGTTTATTGGGTTTCGTAATAAGGCAGCTAAAAATTTATTTTATCACTACCCGCCTAAGTGCAGCCAAGTTAAGCCCCAAGTTCCTAAACCGTCCACTCGAAGGTCTACTTCGGCGTTGGCACCTATGGGACCACTACAGATGCCCAGCGTGGGCTCGGAGCCTGCTACCGGCTCAAGGCGGCCATGAGGGTTTAGAGGGTCTATAGGGTTTAGGGTTTGGGGTTCAGGGAGGGTTGGTGCAGTTTTTGCGGTGTTTGCGCGTTGTACAGGGTAGGCGGTTTGTGCGGCCCTTCTTCTTGAGTGCGCACGAAGCTGTGAGGCTAGGGGGGTACAAAGGAGGCGCACGAAAGAAAGGCATCAACACCTCAGTAACTTCGCCTGGGTGGAACAAAGGGGGCCCGAATCCAAAAACCTCCGTTAAGAGCCCTAAACCCTAAACCCTAAGCCCTAAACCCTAAACCCAGTGAAGAGCCAACCCCCTAAACCCTAAACCCTAGAACCCCATGGCAGGTCGAGGGTGTGGACAAAGACATCATTGCCCAGTCTGTCAACACAGGTGCCATGCGATGGGAGCAAGCACAGGGACCCTCGAGATGCCTTAAGTTAGGAACCTTGATGGTCTCCCCAATTAAAGTAAACCCTAAACCCTAAACCCTAAACCCTAAACCCTAAACCCTAAACCCTAAACCCTAAACCCTAAACCCTAAACCCTAAACCCTAAACCCTAAACCCTAAACCCTAAACCCTAAACCCTAAACTCTGGTTCTGTATGCTATGAGTGGGCGGCGCCATCGCTTCGTACAAAGAATGCACATGCGCAGGGGCGATCCGGAAGCTTCCAGACCCCGAGAGGTTGGGACGTGGACGGTAAGCAGTTCGACCTGCAAATGGCGGCAGGCGGCACTGGGGCGTTCCTTGCCGTCATAGTTTGTTGTTCGTCGTTGTAAAGTATACGAACTTGTAAAAATCTGACGAAGTATGTCAACATATTATCGGTTTTGGTGAAAATGTTATAAAACACGACAATGGCATAGCACGTTGCTGTATTGGTTGGCGGTTGGCTTGATTGCGACGATGCCAGTGTTGCTCGCCTCCCGACGCTTCAATGGGGGTTGCCAAGCATGCCTTTTTGCTCTCATATTTGCGGACACATGACCCACTTCTAAGGTTGTCCACAACAACATCGAAGCAATGCTTGTGAGCTCTTCGTGCTTATGTGCCTACAGACCTACACCCACTGTCGGGGCAGGGAGGGTCGGCTTAAATGCAAGCTCTCCATTAATCTTGTCATGTGCGGCGAGGTCCTCTAAACCCTAGACCCCTAAACCCCTAAGCATTAACCAGAAACAGAAGAGTCTCCACAGGCCGAGCTTTCCAAACTTAATGCCCGAGGTTCAACAACTGCGCCGGCGGCTCGGGAAGCATGTTTGCAGGAGGCTGGATGGGGCGTCGGGCTTTGGGGTTTTGGGGTTTCCGGTTTAGGGGCGAGCCCCTTGGGGTTCGGAAGATGGTTTTTGCTTTTCATTCTACTATGAGAATGGAGGGAACTTGAGTTGTGGTACCCTAAATAAACCCCGAACCCTGAACCATACACCCTAAACCCTAGCCCTAAACACTAAACAGGTTCCCCTTGATGCAACATGAACCGCGTCAACGGCTGAAGGGCTCCAGGCCCTGAACCTCCACTCCCCCCAAGTGCCAAAGCACTGAACTGCAGCATATGTATATACAAGTATCCAGTTTTTTATCTGATATAGTGTCGTACAATATACTGTAAATGAATATATACACACATACATAAACATATATATATATATATATATGCATATATCATGAGTTTTTACAAGCACTTCGCGCCGCGAAGCCATCTGCAGGCAAATCCGCCTGGGGCTGCATGTATGGCGGCGTGGACGCGCGAAGTGGCTGCAGGGCGCTGCCTTCTCGGCCGAACCAGGTGAGGTTCTCGGGCGCTGCAAAGTCCCAAAAGTCCCAAAGCTTGTTCGCGGCTCAGAGTTTGGGGGTGAAAGCTTCGGGCTTAGGAAAGGCCGGCGAGAGAAAGAGAGAGAGAGAGAGAGAGAGAGAGAGAGAGAGAGAGAGAGAGAGAGAGAGAGAGAGACAGAGAGAGAGAGAGAGAGAGAGAGACAGAGACAGAGACAGAGACAGAGACAGAGACAGGGACAGGGACAGGGACAGGGACAGGGACAGGGACAGGGACAGCGACAGGGAGGGGGAGGGAGGCTCGGACTCGGGCTCGGATCTCAAAAAGCGGATCTTTAACCCCCGCACCAACGTCTTCGCTCTTGCGAGCTGAGCTCGCGCAGAAATAGAGTGCCCCCACACACAGGCATCGGCAATGGCCCACGCGGGAGACTCCCTGGTTCGAATGTGCGAGTACAGCTTCGACAAGCTGCTCGTCGGGCACGTGAGACAAGAACATGTTGTCTTGAGAGCCCCCATGACCCCATCTACAGAATCCAACTCTCAGCCTGCTGTGGCTCAGGAAGGTCCGGGTTTCGGGCGCCGATCTTCCTGCAGGAGGGCCTTGCAGGGGAAGGGTTTTTTTAGTCTAGAGAGGGCTTTCCGTTGCGGTCTGTTTGGGTTCAGCCTCAAGTGGTTGCAGCGGAGCTTCGTGACTCTTGCCCAGGGCCATCGGGTAGAAGTGACGGATCGTTTCTGCAACGCATGCTGAGTGATGTTGTGGGACAAGTCCGACACTCGGCTCCCGAGATAGCGCCAGGACCCTGCAAATACAACCCTACAATGCTGGATGTGGCGCGAGTGCACTTTGGCTGCCATCTTGTAGGGTTTAGGGTTTAGGGTTTAGGGTTTAGGGTTTAGGGTTTAGGGTTTAGGGTTTAGGTTGTAGCATTGCTGACACGAAGCAGCATGATGAGGAGCATGTTGGCATGTGGCGTGTGAAGGGGGGGTCACGTAGAAAACCTGTGCCTTGGACTCGAGACCCCAAACCCTAAACCCTAAAACCCATTCTTGGGGTTTACGATATTAGGGGTACCTCATTGGGGTCCCTATTATAAGGGGATAGTACTATTTGGGGCCTTATTTTAGGGATCCCTTTTGTTCGTAAGCCCCTGTTTCAAGTTAACAAAACCCGAAGCCTTGAGGCGGTGCCCGGAGCAGCTTGTGTCGCTCACACAAATGCAGCGGTCTGATGAGCCTCAAGGCAGATGTGGCTTTGTGCCTGCTTCTAAGTATTTTTTTTTCAGGAAGTATGCTTTGTTTGCGTTTTGATAAAAGCTGAAGGGAACAGTATACATAATGTTTATATTATGGCTCTAAGGGGGCTATCGCTTAGGGATTGTTCTTCTTTTGCGAAGGCCTTCGGGGAGGGGGAGATGAGGGGGGGGCGGGGTACTTATCCTTGTTTTTTGCCTGCAGGAGTCAGGTCGAATCTAGGGTTCGGTCTCCAGTCAGGGCCGGAGGTTTCGAATCGGATGTCTGGTTCGATTTTTTTTGCGTTTCTGGGGAGTTGCGTGCGGTACCTGGGGATGACGCACCATCCGTACGTTCAGCAGAATAAGAGAAGCACAATGGCCGCTCCATATGGAGCAGCACGTAGACGAGGCCCAATCAATCAATTCATCATTGTTGAAGGGTACTTGCTGATACCATACCATACTATACCTTTTGGATTTTCCCCCCCTATACGAACAGTCCTTAATAGGGATTGTAGTACCCGCCGATTAATCCCTATTAAGGACTTAAGGACTGTTAGTATAAGGAGGAACATCCCAAACTATACCGGCATGCCTTCTTTTGCGAAGTGTGGGGGTGGCAGGCTACAGCTTCACCTCGACATGGCGCGCGGCTGGCTTTCCCAATGCCCAAGGCTCGCCAGCTCGACACAGCTGTTCCGCGACACCAGAAAGCCTCGTCGCAAGGCACAGCCTTGACCGGAATTTCACCCCAATTTCGTGCCTCATTGGCCCCGCTGCAAGCCGGGGCGTCGACTGTTGGCACTTTGCAATGTGCCCGGAGGTGCCAGTCGCTGCCGCTCCGAGGCCTCTGCGGCAGTGCTTGGGTTGCTTTCAGCCTAAAGAGGGAACTCGTCTCGACTGAAGCGGTCAAGAATTCTCACTTATAAAGACCTGTGCTCTTATGATCTTATGTTGGGGAGCTGAGTTGCCAGAAGTCGCCAGACTCACTCTATTACGTTTGAGCCCCGAGCTCGTCTAGCTCCTCTAGCTCCGCCCAAAGATGCAGGATGTTCGGGCATTATACTATTACACTATTGCATTACATTGCATTACATTGCAATTACACTATTGCATTACATTACATTACATTGCATTGCATTGCATTACATTAACATTACTACTATGCAATATTACTTTACATTATTACATTACATTATTTCAGTACACTACATTGTTACATCGCTGCATCTTTACATTGTTTAATTAAGTACATGATTACATGAGTTCACTATTGCATTATGGCAGTATGAGATCTGACATTATGATGCTGTTATGTGTTTATGCCATTATGTGATGTTGGTATTATATTGTTATTTTAATATTTTGTAGGTTACAATACCATTATGTGACTATATTTGCAGACGATTATATTATACTACTCTTATTCTTAGATAGGTCATTTCTTCCTATATTCTTATATTTTGTGTATACATATCTTGTTATGTAATTCTAGTTTTTATCATGATAGTATATTACACTATGCTATATTTTAATATTGCTTGTTTCTATATTTCTATCTTACTGTATTTGTGATCATGATTTTTCGAGATGATTTTATCTGAATGTACTATTACACTGTTACCTCGCTATGTTACTACAAATCGGGCAGTTTTCCACGTCCGCTGCACAGCTCGCTAAGTTGACAAGCCGGATGTCGAAGCATAAACTTCGCACCCTCCGATGCCCTGGAGCCTGGAGAGGACTCGGGTGCGGGCCTGGCGTACTGCCTCACGCGGATGATGGACTGTGTCTTTGCGCAAAGGGCAGGGCGGCAGGACTCATGGAGTTTTCGGAATTTTTCGGAGCGTACCCGGCCTGGACTCCGGAATCCTAGAAAACCGGGAGTTGAGTGTTCTCGAGGGCTTGGCTGTGAATCGGCGTGAAATCATGGGCATGTAATTCTCGCACGCAGTATTATACTTCCCCAAGCAGTGTCTCAGGGGTCGCTACGTGGAGTATTCAGAGACGGTAGGCGGATTATGCGACCTGGAACATTGTTCCTTTTTTTTTGGACTAAAATCAAGCTCTCGCATGGGCGCGGCCACGTCCCGCGCTCGCCGTCGTTGTCGTGGCTTGTTGACATCCGTGTTCGCCAAACGCGACAATTTCATCACTTCTGGACGTCCCTGTTCGCCAAACTGTCGCTGCTTTTTTTGGACATCTGGTTTCCCGAAAAAGCGCAACTGCCGTCACTTTTGGACGTGAACAAGCATGGTGTTTCACCGTGGGGGTCTACGCTGGCAGAACACTCCAAAATCTATATCTGTCTAGAAACACACCATGTAACGAACTACATGTAGGCAGAGCGTCCTGGGGACACATTCGCCACCTAGAAACCGAAACTCCCGCAGCTTTCACGACTCCACGATCTCAAGAACTCCCAAACCCCAAACCCTAAACTGTAAACCCTAAACCTTGACTAAACCCTAAATCCCAACCGGAGCCCTGTAGCACCCAGGTAGGAAGCCGTCCGGCGCGTTCATGACCAACGTCCAGGCAGGATGACCCCTATAAAGCCCTACAGTTATACCCTAAACCTCAATAATCGGTCAAGCCCAAAGAACTTTAAGCCTGTCAAAAAGCAAAAAACCTCAAACGTCCACTCAATCAACCCTTACAAGCAATAACAAGCAAGGCCAAACTTATGGTCCCGGGCCGGCGCGTTGCACAGACGTGCGCCCGCGATGGCTACACGCGCCCCTTGGGGCGCATCATGATATCATTACATCCTTCTATCGTTATATCATTGTATGAGTATACCGTTATCTGTTTACAATTTCATTGTGAAGATTGAACTCGGCCATTCCCATCCTGGGTGTGGGACATGTCAGACACGTTGGGGTAAATCTCCGTGTCCTCTTTGCACTCTGGACACAAGCACGCCACGGGCAGGGCATATGTGTCTTCTCTCGAAAAGGGTCGAAGCCGTTAGTTTGACGGGCTTTTTTGGAGTGGGTTCGTGTGCTTACCTGAGGCATCGACGTGTCCTGCGGATGTGCGGGCTGCATGTGCTAATGACTGCTGGCGCAGGCGCCTGCCAGGCACAAGCCCGTCAAATCTTCCCATTTTAATCTGCAAGTCACCAGCACGCTGGTGCTAATATTGGCATGGCAGAGGCCATCTGCCTGTACGATTCCCACGATCCCCACAAGTTTTCCCGTGGATTTTTGTGCGTCTTCGCAGCGAGTTGCGAGCGACTCTGGGGGATCTTCTCACGAAGCAGAAGACCTCTCCAGGGAGATGCCGGGACCTTTAGGGTTCAGGGTTTAGGGTTCAGGGTTCAGGGTTTAGGGTTTAGGGTTTAGGGTTTAGGGTTTAGGAGTTTAGGGTTCTCTGTAGCCTTATAGTCAATCTTTTTAAGTCCGAAACCATGCGGAGCTTGCTAGAGCGCATGCAGTTTCCAGGTCCCTGCCTCCCTAAATACTCAAAGTCTCTAGGAACGTCTAGGAACCGAATGTGGCCTTCACACCTCTGGAGCGCCAGAGCCACCGTGAAAGTGCGTCTACAAGACAAAAGTGTCAGGGGTTTCAGCACTTATGGAGCAGGCCTTTGAGGAATGTGTGTTTTGGGAAGAAAAGGGGGACACGTTCAGTGGTTGAGTCGCCATGCATTCCTGAGAAGAACAACACCGGCATTGAAGCTGCTTATGGAGACTATGTCTATGATATAGGCCCATGAGGGATTGAAATTGCAAACCCTAAACCCTAAACCCTAAACCCTAAACCCTAAACCCTAAACCCTAAACCCTAAACCCTAAACCCTAAACCCTAAACCCTAAACCCTAAACCCTAAACCCTAAACCCCGAAACCGCTTTGTGGGGTTTAGGGTTTAGGCTGTAAGTGCTCGACTTGCCCTGAACTTGAACCGTACATCTAAGTTCCTCAGTGGTACTTGGAGGTTCATGGTACTACTAACCACTTATAACTGGGCTTATAACCCTACTTATAATTGGGATAACGGGATAACCCCTATAAGGCCTTTTAGGGGTATTATAAGTAGGGTTATAAGTACAGTTATAATTGGTTAGTAAGTACCGTGAACCCTTAAGTATGGCCCGAGGCGACAGAAGCTGTTGCAGCTCGAGAGGGAGACGTGGACTACTTCAGGGGTTTAGGGCTTCAGGGGGTTTTGGGTTTAGGGCTTCACTTGTTTTTTTTTTAGGGTTTCAGTCTTAGCGGCAGGTATCTTGGGGTAGTTTGTAGTAGTAGCATATGTGGGTTTTATGGATATCATGAGGCAGTGACAGCGCCAAAATCGCTGGGGCTCCTGCCGCACGTGCGTCTCAGTTGCTTCGGAGCTTTCCTTCGCCTGTTTTGCATCATCCTTTATTTCTGTTTTTGAATGTTGCGCCTAGGGTGATTGGAGCCATGCGCGGCTCGGGCGGTTCGGGCTTAGGGGTTGTGGGTTCTTAGGGCCTTCTCCAGCCTGGCTGCATTCCCTAAAGAGTAACCCCAAGAATCTATGAGAGCGAATTCAATTCCCCCCCCCCCCCCCTAGGGTGAGGTTTTGGGAACCCCGATGATGAAACCGTGAACCCTACTCCATGCGCCCTAAGCCCCTTAAACCCTCAGCAACCCGAAATCGTATCTACTCTGGTGCTCGCTCAGCCCCGTCAAGAGACCGGTTGCCGTAAGTTCCCTTGCAAGGTTTAGGGTTTAGGGTTTAGGGTTTAGGGCTTAGGGTTTAATTAGGCTTAGGGGTTAGGGCTAACCCTAAACCCTCAAGGGCCGGTCTAAAGGGGGAGCCGAATTTGAGGGCTAAGAGGGTTTAATGGGCTTCCTGCCACCCTGGGACCCCCCCCGAAGGACATTGTCACAAACCAAAAGCCATAAAACCCCGAAGCCCCAAAACCCAAAACCCTAAACTCCCAACCCCTACACCCTAAACCCCTAAACCCCTAACCCTAAAACCCTAAACCCTAAACCCCAACCCTAATCCCTAAGACCCAAATTCCTAAAGCCCAAACCCTGTCAGCCCAGGAGCACCTCATGGCCGAAGATGAGCTCGACACCGTCCTTGCTCCCAGCCAACCTGTGTCGGCTGTTGGTTTAGGGTTTAGGGTTTAGGGTTCAGGGTTTAGGGTTTAGGGTTTGGGGTTCTTTTGAGAGTTCCAGTTTGGGGTTAAGAAGTTTAGGGTTTGGGGTTCAGGTTTTTGTGTATTCGGGTTCTGTATCCCAAGCCCTCAGCCTCAAACTCTGAATCCGCCACCCCCCCAAAAGCCCCCTCAAAAGCCCCCCTAGGCGCAGACGGAGCTCCGCAAGCAGAAGCGACGACTGCAGGCGCCACCCCCGTGAGGGAAACGCCGGCTTGAGGGCTTCAGGCAATCTCGGGGTGCCTTCAACCAGCCTTCTGGGAGCCCAATGCCGTGCTAGGATGCACTGATTGCGGTTTAGTTAGGTGTTCGAGGTCAAGGATGCAGGGTTCGGTAGTTGACGCACTTTTGGTTGCCGAGGCATCCAGCAATCGCCGGAGAGCCACCAGCTCAGACGCGACTACAGCCGGCTACATCCTGGAGCAGCAGTGTGCCCGAGACTTAGATGTTGCAGCTCCTCAAGGTTCCGTAACGGTCCATGCTTTTTTTACAGTGCATGCTTGGCCCTGATGGCTACCCGCTTTGTAGGTACATGGGCCCTCAGGGGTTTAGGAATTTCACGTTTGGAGGGGAACAGCGTCCTCTGATCTTGCCTTCTTTTCCTGTGTCGCCAGCAGGAGCTCCGCGTGTCCAACTCGCAGAAGAGGGCTTCGTGCTCAGATGCTCTTACACCTGCTTCCGCATGTCGTGCTGAGGGGCCGCACTCAAGATCCTAAACCCTTGTACTTCTCTCTGTGAACCCTAACTAAGACCCTAAATCAACCCCAGACCCTACCACCTTTAGACCCCCGAATCCCCGAAGCCCTGGATCCGAAGAGACCCTCAGCCTTAAACTCCCACCCTAAACCCTAAACCCTAAACCCTAAACCCTAAACCCTAAACCCTAAACCCTAAACCCTAAACCCTAAGCCCTAAACCCTAAACCCAAAAATAGACCCCAAACTGTTGAAGTCAGGCAGACGCCTTGCAAGAGCAGATTCGGGATGTGGAGAAGAGGCGCGGCCACGTTCACGGGCGGTCACCGGGTCTGCCTTGGGCTTGAGAACGACCCCCCCCCCCCCCCCCCCCTCCGCCCCTTACTTACCACCAATAAGAACTTAGATTTCAGGGTTTAGGGTTTAGGGTGAGAGTTCAAAGTGCAGAGCTTGGGGAAGTTTCGGGTGGGGTTGTAGGGCTTGGGGAAGTTTAGGGTGTAGACCCCAAACCTTAAACCAGACACCGAAACCCTAACTCACTCACGTCCTAGCAGAGGGGTCTCAAAAACACAGCCCCAAACTAAGGGGTAGTTCAGGTCAATTCCTATAAGCGTGTCTGGCCTGTTGATATGAAAGGAAATGCGAGCTTTATAGGGGTGTGTTGTCCTGGGGGGGGGGGGTGGGGGAGTTGGACTAGAACTTCAAGCAGCAAAGTTACGGCACAGGGTTTCGGCTCCCGTTCGCTGGAAAACTCCGAACCCTCAACCCCAGGCCCTAAATCTGCATTCCGCAACGCGCAACCCCTAGCCTAAACCCCTAAACCCGGAACCCCTAAGCCCCTCCACCCTCAACCAGACCTCTCCGCAAAAGACTAAGCCACAAAAGCTGCATAAGCCCTAAATAATACGCCCTATGTTGCCTTCTGGGTCCTGTAAACCCTCTAAACTCTTTCTAAACCCTACAAACCTTCTAAGCCCTCAAAAACCCTATCATTATACCCTATAAAGACTGAAAGCCTGCAGGCCTTTGTAAACCCCAAGCCCTACAAAACCTCCAAACTTCAAACGCTCTCGCCCCCTTGAATCCTAAAGCCTGTAGCCGCAAGACGAAATCCGCCTCTAAACTCAACCCTAAACCCTAAACCCTAAACTCTAAACCCTAAACCCTAAACCCTAAACCCTAAACCCTAAACCCTAAACCCTAAACCCTAAACCCTAAACCCCCTCGAAGCCAGGCTCCTCGAGGCCGAGTCCAAGCTGCCCCTGGAGCTTGGCCCTCACGAGGAGGAGACCGCGACGTGGGGGGGGGGTTTAGAGGTTTGGGGTTTAGAGGTTTGGGGTTTAGGGTTTAGGGTTTAGGGCTAGGGTTTCGGGTTTAGAGGTTTGGGGTCTAGGGTTTGGGGATTAGGGTTTAGGGTTTCGGGTTTAGAAGTTTGGGGTTTTGGGTTTAGAGTGTCGGGTTTAGGGTTTCGGGCGCAGATCACCAGCCTCTTTGGGACCGCAATATGCATAAATAGACAAATAGATTCATGAAACAATGTATGTATTTATTGTGCTACAGTTTAAGTTTATACTTAAATACTTATATATATATATATATGTACCACCGCTGTCACATGCTTGAGATCCTGGGTTCTTTGGCCGGTACCCTGGACGCCAGACGCCCCCAAACCCTGAATCCCAGACCCCCCTCAAAAGCCCCGAACGGGAGACCCCCCCCCCCCCCCCCCTAAACTCTTACGCAGAAGCCCTTGAACCAGGAGAGCTCCGGCTACTCCAGCGCGGGGGCACAGCTCCACTCGATCTGCATGCCCGGCCCCCGAGGGTTTTGTTCAGTTGCTGTTCGGAAGCTTTTTGGAGGGTTTTGTAGGGGGCTTGACTTAGGAGGGTTTATAAGGTTTAGGGGTTAGGGTTTAGGGTTTAGGGATGTTTAGGGCTTAAGAGCTTCGGGTTCTTTAGGAAGTTGGTGATTCTCAGGTTGCTGGACTTTTATCAGGGCGTCTTTAGCACTTCTAAGAGGGTGCCATAGGGGGAGCTTGGTTTTTTCCGACCTCGAGGGCTTAAAGGCTCAGAATATATAACCACACACCAGGGCTTAGGAACCCTAAACCCTAAACCCTAAACCCTAAACCCTAAACCCTAAACCCTAAACCCTAAACCCTAAACCCTAAACCCTAAACCCTAAACCCTAAACCCTAAACCCTAAACCCTAAACCCTAAACCCTAAACCCTAAACCCTAACCAGGGGCTTAGGGATGTCGAAGCCGACCCTCCGTCTCCTCAGGGATCCGCACCTCAGCAACGAGGAGCGCCTCGCGCTGAAGCTGGCCACGCGCCGGGCCCAGACCGGACGTGTTTCGGTTTTTTTAGGGGTTTAGGGTTTAGGGTTTAGGGTTTAGGGTTTAGGGTTTAGGGCAAGGTTTCGGTTTTTTAGGGGTGCAGGGTTATAGGGCTTTGGTTGTCTGAGGAGTTCATGTGGTGTTTCGGGGGGGGGGGGGGGGCTAGAAGTTCGCGGGCCTCTGGCGTGGATCTGTTGGGCAAGCCTATAGCACCTCTGGCTCCTATGAGCTCTACATCGAACCTTGTCTAGGACCTGGAGATGGCCCTTATCCGCATTTTAAGCGTATAAGCCCCAAACGGCACCTTTTTTGTTCCTAGGTTACTCTTGGGTCTAGTTGTAATCCCCATGATTCAGGCTCCAGCAATTCCACGAGGAGATGGTGGAGCAGGACCCGCGAGCTGTCGGCAGCAGGTTCTCAATTGAATCTTAAGGCTCAAAATCACCCTCAGACCTTGTAAACCCCTGAACCCAGACTTTTGGGGATTTTCGGGTTCTGTGGCGCTGAAGGGCGCAAAATCCATACATTCGAGGCTCGGAGATCTGGGCGCCCTGAGATAGTAAGGGCTCCAAAGCCACAATCCTGAATCATGGTTAGGCCCTTTCTGCTGGTTCCTGTTTTGGGATGCCTAATCACTCGTTTTCAAGGGTTTGAAGAAATAGACCCGGAAATTCGGCACGAAAAGCACGGAACAATCATTCAGGGACCAGGTAAACCCGCAGCATCTCCGATTGTGCCATCCAAAAACTAGTCCGACCGCTTCGCCGTGAGGCCGCCCAGTCGCAGCACGAGCATGACAACATGCTCCGTAAAGCTCGGGACCTTGTGAGATGAGGGAGGGGTGTAGGGCTTTACTCAACTTGCAGGCCCCAAACCCTACACACTACACACGTGTAGGGTGCATCCCCCTTAGTGTAAGCCCCCCCAAAACATCGTAGGTCGTTGGGGGCCCGGAACCTTAAGCCCGAAACCTACATGTACATAGTCCTGAGGGAACCCCTGCTTCCCTAGTGAGACTGAGAACTCTATGCCCCCCCCTAAGCCTTAAAGCCCCTGGAATTCACAGGAGTTAGGAAGCCCCGGGCCAAAAGGACCCCTGACTGGTTTTGACGAAGCCCCGATTGACCGTTTGAGGGTTTTGGGGGGGTTGTTTGGAGCTTAGGGCCGAGGGGGCTTCCAGGGCTCGCAACTTACAGCAGGCCCGAAGCCTCTTCCACCAAGCAAAGCCCCAAAACAAAGCCCCCCTCCCTCAACCCTAAACCCTAAACCCTCAACCCTCAACCCTAAACCCTCAACCCTAAACCCTCAACCCAAAACCCCAAACCCTGAACCCTCAACCCTAAACCCTAAACCCTCCAAGGTGGAGCAACGCAAGGTTCAGGCCGCCCTGAAGCAGGCCGTCGAGCCGGACTTCATGCCGGGGGCCCTCTATGAGTGTTCTTTAAGGGGGGATTTGGGGGTTTAGGGTTTAGGGTTTAGGGTTTAGGGTTTAGGGTTTTTGAGAGTTCTTAAGTGGGTTAGGCTTTTAGGGTGTAGGGTTTTTAGGGTCTAGGGTCTGGGGTCTAGGGTTTCTTGTGGGTGTAGGGCTTAGGGTCTCAGGTCTAGGGTTGAGGGAGCTTAGGGTTTGTCCCCAAACCCCTTTTCGAGCAACAGCCCATAGAGCTCTTCACGAAGGTCTACATACCCTGAACCATACACCCTGCCAAGGTGTCCGATCCTGCACGAGCGCATGAAAGTACCTGCCGGAACCCGAAGATCACAGCTTCAACTTCCCAGCGTGTCAGAATTTAGGGCTTGAGGTTTCGGAATGCAGGGTTTTTTTTTTATTCTGAAGCCCAAAGCCCTACACACCCAACACAGAACAGAACTTGTACCCTAAATACTCTTATAAGCTTGCTCCCCGAAGTGCGACTCCAGGATATAGGCTGCTTGCGGGGATTCAGGTGTTCATGGCCTTGAGCTTTAGAGGGTTTTGGGGTTTAGAGTTGTCGGTGAGGTCTTCGGGTTTTGGGCAGCTTGGGCATTCTGCCTTTTTTTAAGATCAAGGCTGTGAAGTCGCATGTGTGGCGCCTCCCCGCATGAATGGATCCCAACTTAGACCATGAGTAGGCAGCGAGTGTTGTCGCTAGTTTTTTTTAGAATTGCCAAGTAGGCATTCGAACAGGATGCAGAGGTACCTACCCCAAACCCCCCCAAACCTTGCACCACAACAGCATTGGCTCCTTCACGCTCAGCCGATGGCCAGCTTCTTTTTTGGCTCAGGGGCTGCTGCTGTTTGCAGTAGCTTTTGTTGGCCTCCAAAAGCTCCATTCAGGTGTTTTCCCCCTCATTTCTGTTGACCCGATTAGCCCCAAACCCTCGTAGCTGCTGGCCTGCGTCGGCGGCAATGAGCAGCCTGCGAGGGGAGCAGCTTGGCATGTGCTCAGGGACCGAGGAAACCTCCAAAAACTCTGGAGCTTCGAAGAAATTGAATGGTTGTTTTCGAATATTGGTGTCCAGGGGTGTCGGGGCAAGGGTTCAGTTCAGGGTTTAGGATGCCCTGAGACTTGAACCCTGAGGTATGGCTTCCTGACCGTTTACGATGGCCTCAGTGAGGAGGAGGCGGGAGGGAGATGGCCTCGAAACGAGACGTCTGGGTTCGTTCGTTTGAGTTGCTTGAGGTTTGGGAAACCACCTTCCACCCTAAACCCTGTAATTTAAGAGCACCATTTTTTTCTGGGCACCTATTGCAAGAGGGACCTTCTAGGGTATACTCAAGGGACAGTTCACTACTAACCCTCACGTCGACCTTCCCCCCCCCCCCCCAAACCCTGAACCCTGAACCCTTAACCCTAAACCCGAAACCCTAAACCCTCAACCCTGAACCCTAAACCCTAAACCCCCCCTCCCCCCCCGCGCCCTACCCACCTGGAGCGAGGCTGAAGCGCGTGTGGCCATCATGGCCACCAGCTTCGGCATCCGGGAGTGGCAGTTCTACGACGCAGTGGCCCGGCGGTTCGGGGGCTAGCGTTCAGGGCGAGGGATTAGGAATTGGCTAGTGTGTGGGATTTAGGGTTTAGGGTTCAGGGTTTAGGGTTGGAGGGCTTGCTTGCAAGGGCGAGTTCACTGCACGGAGAGTTGCGCAGGTCTTCTTTAAGCCCCCCGGGATTGGTTGGCTATTACTCGTTTTGGAAAGCTTCAGGCATGCCAAATGCGTTTGGGCACTTCGGGCCTCCCAACGTCGTCAACGAACCGCAGCCCAGGTGGAAGGATACTCGACGCCCCCAGCTTTGGGCAAGGACGGGGTTTGGGATGTGAGAGCGGGCTCGAGCTGCATGTTCAAGATGCGTTCAGCCCTTCTTCGCTTTGTGTCCCAGAGCCCCTATGAGCCCTTCCACCCCAGAACAAAGACTCCTAAGCCCTAAACCCTGCAATATAGGGGTCGGGAGAATTACTAATGGTATTCCCTTATGGTCCCTGTAATTATGTGATAATCACCCCCCCAAAACCCTATTCTAATCAAGGCCCCTATAGCAGAGACCCGAACAAGGTCTCGAGCTTAGTAGGGCCGAGGGATGCTCGGGTCCGGAGCCAGGAAACTTGGAAGAATCTGGCCTTCTTCCGCCCGGTCCAGAGGCGCGAGAATGCAGCTAAGGGAGATTCCCTAAGGGTCCATGTACCCTATTATGTACTTGGGCCCTAACGTCCTTAAATAGGAGGTACTTTAAGGCCGAAGTATTCCCTATTTAGGCACATGGACCCTTTAGGGATTGGCGGAGCTTCCAGGAACTTTCGTTCATTGCACTCATGGCAGTCGAGACAGAAACCAACAGAGCGGTTTAGGGTCTAGAGTTGGGGGAACTTGAGCAACCCTAAACCCTAAACCCTAACCCCTAAACCTCAGAAGCCCGGGACGAGGCACATTCTTGCGGCCTACGTCCGTGCCATTCGCGCTCTGGGCGGGCGCTCGTGGCTGTATGTCCAGGCTTGGCTCTTCATGGGTTCAGGGGTCTAGGGTTTAAACCCTAAACCCTAAACCCTAAACCCTAAACCCTAAACCCTAAACCCTAAACCCTAAACCCTAAACCCTAAACCCTATAGGGTTCAGGGGTTGGGTGTCTATGGTTTCTGGGGTTGACTTGGATTTCATTTTTGAAAGTTCTGTATGGTGGCTAGCCATACAACCCAAAGAAGCTTCTTCTTGTAGTTGTAAAGTCGACCGCAGACACCCCAAAGCCCAGAAGACGAAACCCCAAGGACCCGGCTACATGTAAGCGCTGCGGAAAGGCTTCCCTACGAATTGCTTAAGAACCCCCCCCCCCCCAAAAAAAAAAAGAAGATGAACAAGACTCTTACTTATTAAGGGCAAATATAGGGATTAGTGTGTTTTTTTCATATTCTTTTGGGGTTCTTAGGCAAATAGTAGTTCCTTCTGTGCAGCTCTACCGCATGAGCCCTTGAGCCCTGAAGCCCAAAGCCATCCCACAGCTGAACCCTAAGCCCCTGCAACCCCCTAAGCCCTAAACTCCTCAATCCAGGACCCCAAACCTATAGTGGGAATTATTGCTATGTTTGTTCATAGAAAACCCAAGAGGATATTAAACACAGTATTCTTATTAAGGTTCTAAGAGGGGAGTATAGAAACCCTAGACCCCCAAGACCGAATCTACCCCAACAGACTACAATTCTAGCCGATAGACTCAAAGCAACACCCGGACCGTAATTCTTCGTCCAGGCCATGGCCACCGACCCTGGGGATACCTTGCGACTTGGGCTTAGGCTGTCCAGGGTGTTGTGGTTTTTCCCATGGTTTAGGCACCTACAGCCCTAAACGTTAAAAAGCTTTTGGAGGTTAAGGTTTGGAAGTCGTTGTGTCAGGTAGACAGGAACCTACCCTGCGTAGGGCCAGTTCTCTCATCATGGTCCATGGAGGGTCCTTGTTGTAGTGCGGAGCCAGACATTCAGTGTTTGGGGGCTGGGTTATAAACCTGAACCCTGAGCTTTTAAAGGGACTAAACCCTAAACCCCAAACCCCTCAAATTTCAGAGTCTTGACCACATGCTAGTAGGGAATGGGATGGCCAGAGGAGCTGCGCTCCTCCTTGCGCTTTGATTCCGTCGGTTTTTTTTCGGTTTGGTGTAGTAGAAGTGAGAAACGGTTGAGCCAATGAATGGATGTTAAGGGTTCACTAAGGGGCGCTGCTTATCGGGCTTCTGAAACCCGCAAGAACCTAGGCTGCAAATGGATGCCCCGATGCTGGGTGGCTCGGCCGGCCGTCGGACAGCCCTCCCGCAAGAAACCACACCCACTCGAGTAAAGCTCCTCTGCGACAGCAGGGTTTAGAGGGTTTTGTGGTTTTAGAGAGTGTGGGGGTTGACAAGTGTGCGGGTTGACGGGCTTAGGGACAAGGGGTCTTGGGCTTAGGTTTCCGTCTCTTGCCGACGAGGTGGTCAGGCGTCGGGTAGGTAGATCCCAACTTTCCCAAACCCTCTAAATCCTAAACCCTGAACCCAAAACCCTAAACCCTCAACCCTAAAATCCCTCCATGGCCCAAACAAGGTCAGCACAAGGTGGACGGCCGGCCTTTGCTGGATGTGGTTCCCCCCACGAGCTCTTGGGCGAAGCGCCTGGGCCTTGTAAAGGGTTCAGGGGTTCCCCAAATCCTTGTTTGGTGGCTTGACTACTAATTGCTTAAGAACCCCGAAAAACTAAAAAACATATTCTTCCTTATTCAGGGTAGTATAGGGATCATTTTTCTTTTGGGGTTCTTCAGCAAATAGTAGTTGAGGGCTTCACAAGTCTGAGGGTTTTGGGGTTTAGCGTTGAGGGTTTAACTACTGGAGTTTGATGAAACACATGGGCCCCTCTTTTGGTATTCATCACTATAAAAAGAAATTGTCACATGATCAATGCAAAAAAACTCAGCAACTTTAGGGCTTGATTGGCGGTTTTGGTCAAGTCTGGTCAAGTGTTGAGTGCATCTCGAGGCAGGGGTTCTCAGGGCTTCGGAGGTTTGCGGGTTCAGTTTTTGTGGGTGTTGGTGTGAGTTTCCTGTGGAGAACGAGGCAAGCGGATGCCCCCAGAAATAGTCCACTCTGCAGCCTGCAAGGAGAAACCTGGCCCAAGACCATACAAAGCTCCGAGGAGCCTGTAGAGGACTCTTCAAAGCCCTTAAGCCCTTAAAGACAGACCCCCAGACCCTAAACCCTAAACTTCCAAAATCCTCAGAAGCATCCCGAGGCGCATTGCGCCCCGCTGGGCGGCCTTCGCGGCGGAACTGGGGTTTCTCGGGGCGGTTTAGGGGTGGTTTGGTGTTCAGGGTTTGGGTTTGGGGTTTCCTGCTTTGGGGTTGGGGTTTCGGGTTCAGGGTGTTTCAGGTTTAGGCTGATTCGGCGGTTTGGAGGGTACAGATCGAGCCGTTAAAACCCCTACCCACACCTTGAAGCATTCCCCGATCGCCACTCCACGTCTTAGTCCCCCCCCCCCCACAACCTCTTTGGCGAAAATTCCCAACCACGCTTCGGTTTCGGAGATCCTAAGCACCAAACCTAACTACTGGGCCCGTTCTCTAGGTTCTGCTCCCTTACTAGGGGCCCTGTCCGGCCCTATATTATGCCCATTCATGCCCGATGTACAGCACGAGAAGTCTCACTCCTAAACCCAAACCAGGCAAGGAGAGGCCCTCCTTGCCCAACGAGAGGCTTTTTTTAGCCAAAACCTAGTGCCAGGGTTTCTTGCGATTTAGGGATCAGGGGTTTCAGGGTTGGGCTTTAGGGGTGCAGAGATGCGGGGAGTTTACGATAGTAGGGGTTTCTTATTGGGGACTCCCATGTAGGGCCTAATTTGGACTGCCTACTCCCAAGGTTTTCGGGCATCCACTGGGACACCTTGGGCGACTTCGGCCGGGCATCCGAACATGGGGCCGACATGTACGGCTTCTTGGAGAGCGCCCGGCCCATCGTGGAGGCTGGAGGTTCAGGGTTTGCGGCTTAGGGGGTCGGGCCTATAGGGTATTATCATCATTATTATTAGTATTCTTAGTATTATTGGTATTATTGGTATTCTTCTTATTATTGCCCGGACATGTTCAAGTTTGGGGCTCAGCCGTCCCAATCCCTGCACAACCCTCCGCAAACCCCCCAAGAAACCCAAACCAAGCAATTGAGAAACTCAGCCATAACATGATTCATACCCTCAACTTAACCCTCAACTCCACGCATCAAAAGGCCCTCTGCACATCCCTTTCAGGCTGCCGGGCTGGATCAGACTGCAAACTTCGTCGACGGCTTCGGCTGGGATGCGCGGCTTCCGACGTCTGGGCTCATCGCCTTCCCCTACTGGGAGGTGGGGACCACACCCCGAGACTCCCTGAACCTTTTGAATTTCTCCACCCTACGGAGCCATAGACTCTGAGCCCTAGAAGCCGTTTCGTTGGGCTTAGGGTATGAGGATCTCTGGGGCGATTGACTAAGCCTTCAGGAACCCTAAATTCGATCGGTGGGAGCACAGGCACCATCGTGCTGCGTGCATTCCCACAGCCTGCGTGTAGGGTTTTCGGGTCTCAGGTTGAGGGTTGTGAGCGGGGGCGCCTCCCTCTCTGCACCTCTCACCCCCTCGCCCCATCTCCACCTTCTGCCGCAAGTAACTGGGGCTCAGGATTATTTACGAGGTTTCATTGTCTCCCTAAACCCTAAAACCCTAAATCCTAAACTTGCCCTAAACCCTAAACCCTAACCCTAAATCTAGTCCTTGCGCTCAGGTCTGGACAGTTCCTGCCGTGTCCAGCAGGCCTTTGACTGCCAGGGTGCTCTGTAGGTACGATACGTAGAGTGATGGGGAGAGATCTTCCTTATCCGCTTGTGTTGAGGAGGGATTCTACTTTCTGACTTATAGGGGCCTGAATACACTAAGTGAGTGGCAAAGGGGAGGGGGGGGGGGGTGTAGTTTTTGGGCTTCAGGCGAGCCTCGAACTCCGAGGTTGCCCCCGCTTGGGGGGTGGAGGGAACGCCCAGCCTCTCAAATCCTGAAAAACCCTCTGGGCCCAGAGCAGAGCAAAAGCAGCCCCCTGGACACCGAACTCCATTTACTATTCCTTTTTTGTTTTTAAAGTTCATTATTATCTCCATAATAATAATTTTATATATTATTTGACAGTGGTGCAACGAGTGGCGGCCGCGCAGGTTCTTCCACGAAGCCTGCCCTGCCTCGACCGGGGGCTGCGTCTTTGTTTGCTACCCTGGGAAGGAGACTCAGCTAAGCAACCCTAAAACCTTAACCCTAAACCCTAAACCCTAAACCCTAAACCGAGTTCTTGTTCTGTTGTCCAAGCACGTAAGCTTCAGCTTTGGGTTCTTGGATCCTCTCATGGCTCGTCCAGAAGGCACTGTCAGTACAGCTCTTTCAAGCATGGCCCTCTTTCCCTATACCTTGGGATGTTCCCCCTTATACTAACAGTCCTCAGTACGTAGGGATTATAGTACCCCTACTGTAATCCTTATGAAGGACTGCTAGTAATAAGGGAACCTGTACCCCCCAAAAACGCACCCGTCATCTAGAGAACTGGCCATGTAGAGAACCCCCCTACAAAAGGACAGCGTCCACACGGGTCAATCTCAGAACCGGGGCTTTCACGGCCATCGGCCGATGGAGCTGCTGTTGGACCGCTGGACCTTGGCATCAGGGTGCTGGATTAGTAAGCCCCGCTGGTTTGTCTTAAGAGAAACGTAAGAACCCAAAACCTGCTGGAGGGTAGGTTTTTCAAGAATCCTGCGAGGGGATATGTACATGAACCTACAAAAAAAGTAGGTTTTTGGGTTCTTCTTGTCAGTTCTGTTGCGCACGCTTGAATGCAGGCGAAGTGCACAAACAACACGTACCTGGCCGTGGGCGACGGTGACAAACACATCCAGACAGAGTACTTTCCCTTCACGCGTCAGCTTGAGGACGATGAGATCCATCAGATCCAAGCCGTCCTTGGTGCTAAACCCTCGGGGTGTGAGGCGCTGCTGAGTATCTACGCCCCATCACTGCCGCCGCCACCTTGGCCGGCGTGGTGGCCCTGGCTGTTTTTACTCTTGCTGCTGCCCTTGCCATGCTTGGGAAGATGGTTGTGGAGACGGTTGCCACGGAAATCTCAGAAGCAGCTGCCCCAAGCTCCCCCACAGGATCCAGGGCAGGTCGAACTGGCGTCATTGTGGGGAACCGCACTGGCAAGGTCCTCCAATCGGGAAGCCGCAGCGCAGAAGCAAGGCGAGGAGGATGCGTGCGCCGGTTAATTGAGCATTTACCCGCCGACCTGCTCATGAACACTGTGGCCTTCCAGCCGAAGCCGGCGCTTCACATCCGCATGCGGTCATGTTTCGAACTCATGTGCAGAGCTGTCGCCCAGCAACATGCTGGGAGACCACTCTCGAGCTCATGTGGGGGTTGTTCTGAGTCTTTGAAAGTTCTTCAGCATCTTATCCCTTCGTTTAGGGTACCAAGAAAGTGACCGTGTTCTGGAACAACTCCCATATGGATCACAAGCCTTTCAGGGCTCGTTTAGTCCACGAGGTCATTGACCCAGGAAGTGCGCGACTTAGCTGCCTCCTTGGCCCCAAGCGCCTCTCAACAGATACTTGCAGGGACAGCTGCAAGGGAACCTTAGCTCCTTATACCCAAATACCCAAGTACTGCATCCCTGTTAGGGGCCCTCTGAAGGCCGAAACCCGAACCGCCTACACCCGAAACCCTAAAACCCTAAACCCTAAACCCTAAACCCTAAACCCTAAACCCTAAACCCTAAACCCTAAACGGGTCCCTGAACTAACCCCTAGCTCCCCTTCAGATTCAAGCCATGCAGGCTCGAAATCCCTGGCAAAAAAAAGGCTCCCTCTGAGATTGAGCCCCAAACCTTGCCCCGGTTAGGGTTGAGGGCAGACTATAACTAAGGGCTCTGGGGGTTTAGGGTTTCCCAAACCTTGCCCCGGTTAGGGTTGAGGGCAGAGTATGATCAAGGGCTTTGGGGGTTTAGGGTTTGTAGGTTTATAGGGTTGATAGGGTTTGATTTGGCATGCGATTGGCAATGAGAACTGAGAGATAGCCTGAACTCTGCATTGACCGAGCATTGGGAGATGGAATGAGAAAAGTAGAACTAGTCAACAACACAAATAAAAACCCCAAAGCCCCCTCAAGAGGGCTTGTAGGGTTTCTGGGTTTATAGGGTCTATTGGGTTTTTTTTAGAGTTTATCGGATTTCTAGGTTTTATTGGATTTGCAGGGTTTAGGGCTCCCTGGTTCTAAGTGCTTTAGGATGTGTAGGGGCTTAGGGTAAGAGCCCTGGTAGCCCCTTGGGATGTGCTACATCTTCACCTCGTAATTCCAAGAGGATCATATGCAGGAATTTGCTTCAGAGGCTTTACGGCGGCTGATCTGCACCCCCCCCCCGCCTGCCAGAGTAGCGAAAACGCACGTCGAACTCTGGAGCTGCAGGGTAGGTTTAGGGTTTAGGGTTTAGGCTAGGTTTAGGATGTCTCCTTTGTGGTGGTACTTGCATCTTGATGTGCCTGAAAGACTCAGCGGGAAGTGTAGTCGGTAGGACGCGCACACACGATCCCGGGTTCCTCATCATGACCCGAATTTACGCCAAAACCTTTTAAATCCCTGGCCCCATCCAAGCCCGAAGCCCTTTCACCCCGAAACCTTTAACTCCCAAGCCCTATAGCCTTCGGGTTAAACCCCGAAGAACCCACGCAGTGAGGTCTTAGCTGCCGATGGTTTCACCTACGAACGGCAGGCGGCATGAGACGGCCTAGAGCTGCCACGCCTCTCCCAACAAACCCCAGAGGTTCAAGGGGGGTTGACAGAGTAAAACCCTCAACCTTCAACCCTAAACCCTATACCCTTTACCCTATACCCTATAAACCTGAATTATAAGCCCGAAACCATGGCAGTCTATAGTTCCTCGATCCTTCACCCGTGTCGCATCTTGTAGTGGACTCGCAGGGCCTACATTCTCTTTAGGGTTCAGGGTTTAGGGTTTAGGGTTTAGGGGTGTTGTGTTCATCTGTAAACCCCAAAAGGCCTTTTAATTCCTGGAGTGGGAATCCATGTCAGATAACTATGGGATTGCTTTTGTTTCATCTAGAGGGGGAAGGAAGGGGGGGGTTCCCGGCAGCAGTTGTCTGACGCGGGGTTCAGGTGTTTAAAGGTTTCCCTGAACCCTAAACTCAACAGCCTTTCCCGGCAGCAGGCGATTGAAAAATGGCTGTCCATGCACAACACGTCGCCGATGACTGGGGCGGTCCTGGCGCACAGGCTTGGCTCAATTCGAACAGTGGGTTGGGGGCTTATAGGGGTCTGTAGGGTGCTTTTGGCTTCAAGACCTTTTTTTTTCTGAAGGGGGTAGTGGCCGTTCACAGGCCATGGTCCAAGGTGCCCCAAAGGACAGCATCCCACATGCCTGCGCATGTGAGCCCTCCCTCCCCCCCCCCCCCCCACCCCCCGCCCTTCCTGCTAAGCTGCCGTACGGGATGAGGGTTTAGCGGTTTTGGGCTTTGGGCTGAGGCTTCTCTAAGTTGTGATCCTATAACACTACACCAGGATCCCACAAGGTACCATCATGTAGAGTTGTACACAAATCGGAGAAATGGTGAGGGGGAGGGGATTGGAGGTGGGGCACCTGCTTTATGCTCCCCAGACACCTATGGCCCGAGCCCTCGGGGCGGATTTCTGGGGGCGTAAGCCCCTGAGTCCCTAAACCCTGAAATGCCCAAAAACCCTTGAGCCCCTGAACCCTTCAGTCCCCAAATCCGAAGCTCCCTGAACCTTTTTCCCCTAAACCCTGAAACTCCCCAAGCCCTTGAACCCCTGAACCCTGAACCGCTAAACCCTACTAAACCCTAAACCCTAAACCCTAAACTCTAAATCCTAAACCCTAAACCCTTAACCCTTAACCCTAAACCCTAAACCCTAAACCCTGGTCATTTCCAGGTATCTCACCGAGAACTTCGCGCTTCGGCACCTCATCGAGACCTACGAAGCGCAGCTGGTGGAGAAGAGGCGGGTTTTTGGGGCTTAGGGGCCATGTAGAGGGTTTGGGTTCAGGGTTTAACGGTTTAGTTTAGGGTTTAGGGTTCAGGGTTTCGGGAATGGAGTTTAGGGATTTAGGGATTTAGGGTGGTTTGGGATCCAAGGTTTTGCATTAGGGGGTTTAGTGTCTCGGGCGTGGTGCGAGATGAGATGCCCTCAGCTTCTGAAGGGCGGCTCTCGGGTCCTTTCTTCGTTTTGTTCCTCGAAAAGGGGGCTGGTTGTTTGATTTGGGCCCTTCCTTCGTGGGAGCAACATCCTGCAACTCGCACGTCTCCTTTTTTCGAAAAAGTCCTCAAGGGACGGGGGCTGGTAGCCCTTGGTCCCTGCTAATGTTGCATTCACCTTTAGAAGACCACCCGCCCTGCCCAAACAAATCTGCGACCCTTTTTGAAGACATCTTCAGCGGGGGGGGGGGGAGGGTTGGGGTGATGCCAAGGCCCTTAAAGCCCCAAGGCCCTTAACACCTGATATAACCTTTGAGGTAAGTCTGGAAGACGTCTCATGCGCGGCGCAGGACGACAGAGGGTCGGCGAGCAGGCGTTTCCAAGACCTGTCGCATCCCCGGCTACTGCAGAAATATCTGGGGCTACACTCCTTCCCGGTACCCTTAGGACAAGGGGGGGGCACTGCGAGCAAGGCCCAAAATAGGGACCTTTACTTTTCCGGGAAAAGCCCCCAAAACAGGCCCAAGGCCCTATAAGCCCCAAACGACAAACCTGCAAGCCCTCAACCCCGCAATGCATAAACTCGATAGTTCCCCTAAACTCCTCGCAGGTTGAGTGTCTTGTAAACCTACACCCTAGACCCTGAACCCCTCAAAAACTCCATCGTTCTGTGCAACTTAAGGTTGGCCCCAAAAGCCGAAATCCTAAACGTTGAAACACGAAAAACCCTATGCCCCCCTATGAGCTCCCCAGTAAGGCCCTAGGAAGGCCCCATGAAGCCTCAACCCTACAGTAGGGTTTATAACATGTAGGGGGCGTCAGAAGGCGCAGCCCAGTGAATCGAAAACGCCCAAGCGGTCCCGGATGGGATTCTATGCCAGCACCATCCTAACCACCCTAAACCCTAGACCCTAGACCCTAGACCCTAAAACCTAAACCCTAAACCCTAAACCCTAAACGGCCCCTAACAGAAACATTCCTTCCAAACAACCCAGCTCTGCATGTGGACCTTCTTTCAGGTTGGGGTTCGTTTGGGTGGGGGTGTGGAGGATCCTAAGCGCGAAGGTGCAAGCCTTAAATTTAGGCTGCGTTGTCCACGTTTGCCCTGGCAACTGTTTCTTCACTAGTCTGTTTTTGTTTTGGGGTGGGGTGATGTGGTGGAGGGGTGGAGGTTGGTCACGTGCTTGTGTGAAAGGCACACACTAAGAACTTCAGAGTTCCGAGTTCTAGGTGCTCCTATGTCGACATCACCAATACCGCCAACTCACGTTCTACGTCTATTTTCTCAAACAGAGCATGTCTTCTACCCAACCCGATGTCATCGCGCCTGCAACTACTTCACACCAGGAAAAGCAGCATACTACTAGTATCATAGCAAGGCCTGCAACGACACAGCTAGCCCACAGATCTGCGGACAAACGTGGGTAACACGTCCTAAATTTAGATAGTGTCCCTAAACCCTAAACCCTAAACCCTAAACCCTAAACCCTAAACCCTAAACCCTAAACCCTAAACCCTAAACCCTAAACCCTAAACCCTAAACCCTAAACCCTAAAAACCCAAAACCCTAAACCCTAAAAACCCTAAACCCTAAACCCTACGCTTTCGAGGCATATCCCCCCCGCTGTCAGATCTCAGCGATGAGGCGCAGGGGGGCGGGGGGGGGGGGGGGTCCCTGACACTCCCAGGGCATGCGCGGGTTCGGAAGGGTTTAGGGTTTAGGGTTTAGGGTTTAGGGTTTAGGGTTTAGGGTTTAGGATGTATAGGGATTAGGGTTTAGGGTTTGGGGTTTAGGGTTCCCAGACAATGGGGATGCTATATTAGGGCGTAGGTTTCAGTTTCGTTTGCTTTGTTACTCGTGTTTTTGGTGGGGCTCCTTTGTCTAGTATGGGGCCTTTCTGTAGAAGGTACCCACCTTGGGATGTTCCCCATTATACTAGCAGTGCTTAATAGGGATTCTACTAGGGGATACTATAATCCCTACAAAAAGGACTCGTAGCATATCGGGGGAACATCGCACTACCCACCCCAAAAAGAACCGAACCACCCCTGACACCAAAACCCGAAGCCCGAAGCCCACCACCTGCACTTGGGGCTTGGCGTCTGGGGTGCCGGGGGTTCGGGCGTCGGGCCGGCTGCTCTTTTTGGGGGATGATTTTGGACATATACATTACCTAACCCTAAACCCTAAACCCCAACCCTAAACCGCCATATGTTTTTCGTGTAGCTAGACTGTTGTAGGAGAAGAGTCACATCACAACACCATGAGGCGCCGACGCTGCCACCCTGTCACAGGGGTGGATGGTTTGGGGGTTTTACGAAAATAGGGGACCCCGAATATAGACCCCCCAAATAGTAGGATCCCCTTATAGTAGGACCCCAGAAGGGGTACTCCTAATATCGCAAACCCCCAGTTGGGTGGGTTGTCTGACCCCTAACCTAGGGTTCTGGCCCTAAACCTAATGCACCTCTGCTCAAGCTTCTCTTGCTGCGCAGGTGGAGTCAGAACTGGAAGAGGAGTGGAGCAGTGAGGCCGACCTTTAGAGGAGAATGACACCCTCCACCCCTAAGCCTGCCACCCCTACCTGAGCGAGGTGGGGAGAGTTGCGTGATTGTGCTTCAAGCTATTGATAAAGGATGGAAGCTGTTGAGATGAGACATGTCTCTATCTCCTTTGAGATGCAAGTTCCGTGTTGGACTTTTGAAGACCTCGCCCAGTGATTGCATGATCTAAACCAAAGGTTCCATTTAAGTTTGCTTGGGCGTCCGCAGACAAAGCAGAGCTGCTATAGCTTAAGTCCTAAACAGCCCTAAACCTGAAATCCTAAGCACTACCCTAGACCGTCATGTTAAATGTCTTCAAGTCAAAACATCTTCAATGACCAGCTCGCGCTTGCAGCTGCCCAGGGCCCCAGGAGTACAGCATGATTCTACAGAATTCAGTATTCGATACTATAGGGCTTAGGGGAACAGTGTCATTTGCATTCCTGCGTGCGGATATTTTTTTTGCGCACTCTCCCCGAACTGAAGGCATCTCATGGAGTGCTTCGTGAGATGCCGGCAAGGTTTCCATGTCAGAGGCAGCGACCTGAAGCACCTGTGGTTGCTGAAGAGAGACCTGGAAAAACGCAGATGTCAAGAAGAGCAAAAGCTAGCGACCCTTGTCAATGCCGAGATCCTTCCATTCCTGGCGGTGAGCTTCCACAGTTCGAGTATGCTGGCTGCTGGTGGTTTGCACACCTGCGCAGTGAAAGAGACTGGAGAGCTGGCCTGCTTCAGCTGCAATGGCAGTGGCCAGTGCAACGTGCCTGCAGGCCTGGGTCCACTGGTGGCTGTGGCTGCAGGGCGTGTCCACACCTGCACAGTGAAAGAGACGGGAGAGCTGGTCTGCTTCGGCCTCAACAGCCGTGGCCAGTGCGTTGTGCCTGAAGACTTGGGTCCAGTGGTGGCTGTGGCTGCTGGTCAAGGCCACACCTGCGCAGTGAAAGAGACGGGAGAGCTGGTTTGTTTCGGCAGCAACAGATTTGGCCAGTGTGACGTGCCTGAAGACCTGGGACCAGTGGTGGCCGTGGCTGCTGGTCAGGGCCACACCTGCACAGTGAAGGAGACCGGAGAGTTGGTTTGTTTCGGCAGCAACCGCTTTGGCCAGTGCGATGTGCCTGAAGACCTGGGACCAGTGGTGGCTGTGGTTGCAGGTGACAACCACACCTGCGCAGTGAAAGAGACCGGAGAGCTGGTCTGCTTCGGTGTCAACGACAGTTGCCAGTGCGATGTGCCTGAAGACCTGGGTCCAGTGGTGGCGGTGGCTGCAGGTGCCGGCCACACGTGCGCAGCGAAAAAGACGGGGGAGCTGGTCTGCTTCGGCAGCAACAGCTTTGGCCAGTGCGATATTCCTGAAAACCTGGGTCCAGTGGTGGCCGTGGCTGCGGGTGATGTCCACACCTGCGCAGTAAAAGAGACTGGAGAGCTGGTCTGCTTTGGCAGCAACAGCTTTGGCCAGCGCTCTGTGCCTGAAGACCTAGGTCCAGTGGTAGCTGTGGCTGCAGGGCGTGTCCACACCTGCGCAGTGAAACGGACGGGAAGGCTGGTCTGCTTTGGCGACAATGGCAATGAGCAGCATGACTTGCCTGAAGACTTGGCCACAGTTTCGACCACCTCCCGTGCCCGGTTGCTGGTTCAGGAAGTGGTCCAGCAGGTACATCACACAGAGCCAGCGGCGGAGATTTCAGAGGACGAGGCCGCTGCTATAGTGCGTGAACAGGAGGCATCCATCATCCAGCACAACCTCGACTCCATCGGGTGGGAGGCCGCAGTTGGCGGCACCGACACCACAGAGGACGGCGTGTCCTCCTCCGCCCCAAACGGTCGACTGTGGCGCGTGGTGCTACTGGAGTTGAGCCGTGCGCCCCCGGAGCTGAACCGCGTGCTGGAGGCCTCCGATGCCCTTCAGCCCATCCGTGAAGCCTTGGCGCTTGAGGGTTTCGAGTGGCGCTTGCCCTCCGGCGCCAAGGTCTTCATGGACCCCAGCCACTTCCGCACCTTCCGCCAGCTTGACCGAAACGCACAGCTTCCGCAGCTCAGGCCGTGGCATGTCCTGGTGACGGAAGACCATGAGGACCTCGTCATGGAGGCGGTGCAACAGCTGCCCTCTAAGCTCCAAGTGCGCCACAAGAAGCGTGTGACCGTGGCCTACGCCGGGGAGCCCGAGGACCCCAACATGATTTGGGTGAGCCGCACGTTTTTTCACATTCCGTCGGTGCAAGTGGCCCTCCCCAACTCCGTGGTCCAGTCCACCACGGAGGCCCGCACGAACCACGGCAACCATGGCCCAAACCCGCGCAGGTTCCACCCGAGCTGGGACTTCCAGTGAGTGCCGGTTCAGGTGAAGGTCGGCTGGCTCGAAGACACCGATTGAATCACCAGTTAAGACCTGGTATTACCAGATTTGACTAACTAACTAACTAACTAACAAACTAACTAACCAACTAAACAAAAAAATTGAATGGCTACCTTGGGCTGAAACGGCTTACCCTTAAATCTTCTGCCCAACCCCCATAGCCTTGCTACGAAGTACGAGTCGTACTTGCAACTTGTACTTCATAGTTGAAAGAAGATTCCTTAAGCAAATCCTACTCATGAGTTCTGAAACATGCGATGCCTACAAACGGGCCCAGTAGTATTCGATTTTCGCCCTAGTATTTCAATCCCACTTCGAGTGCAACAGAAGCACATCACTACGCTTCGCCCCCATTCGATCATCTAGCCAGCTCAGCAAAGGACCTGCTGTTCGCAAGCTGCTTACAGCAACCGTGACAAAGTCAGAATTCGCTCTGTGCTTGGAGGTGCCAAGTTGATGTTTATGAGCTGCTGGTTCGCTGGCAGGAAGCATCTGTAGCATGATGCAGTCTCCTTTAGACGGCGACACGTTTGGTTGCTGCTGCTGCTGCTGCTGCTCCTTTGTGCAGTGTACAGAAGATCCGGAAATGATTCCAGTTTTGTTGAGTGAAGCACCAGTTCGCAAGCTGCTTACTGGTGTTTGCACAACACTGAGACAACCAGATTGCACCGGGACCTTGATTGTAGTTCATCTTTTTGGGTGCCGAGTTTCATTAGGCCTGCTTTTGCAGTATGATGAGAAACAAAGAACCACAGTTCACGGTCCGGGCACTTATTTCAAACAGTCTTTGCGACAGCAGCGAGTTGCCATCCTAAGCCGTCAATGGCCTCCGATGTCATGCATGTGGAGGGCGCTTCCAGTTCGCAAGCTGCTTACTGCAGTGCCGAAAGCATGCGGATAGCCAAAGAAATGAGGCCAACCCGGTCGCCGCCATCATTTCATATTTCAGAACGGCTGCTGTTACTACCCTGACGGCAGCTTCACAGGAGGAACTGTAGCACTACCAGGAAGGCGACATATTGTTTTTTGTCATACTCACGCATGCTGATGTGTTCATATCCTTCAATTTATGGGCTGAGGGCTTCGGACAAGAACCCAACTCTGAACTGTGGTTTTCCTTGAACCAATAATTTGTGGGTTTGGGCTTTAGGCATGAGAGTTAAACTGTACTGAGTTGTAAGATACAGACTGGCTTGGGTGAGTTCTCGCATGCAGAACCTGAAAGAATTCGGCGGGTCTCTGAACAGTGGTCGTTTAGGGGCGAAATGTCAGGCTCCGCAAAAACAAAAACACAAAGGCAGGACGATCGTGACTGTAGGAACTCCGAAACAACATCTCACAGAGTTGACCATTCGTGTGCCTTGTCTTTTGTACCTGCAGCCGCTTAAACAAATACCACACCGGCCCAAAAGCGTCTTCAAACCCTAAACCTAACCCGAAACCCTGAACCCTAAACCCTAAACCCTAAACCCTAAACCCTAAACCCTAAACAGGCTGCCTCTCGCCGCAGATTCCGGATGGAAGAGGTGGGTCCAGCGAGCCAAGGTTTCGGGTTGATTGCCTGGACCCCTGATTAGTTGCAATTCCTTCTTTTGGGGTACCAATTTCAGGTTCAGCTAGGGTTTAGGGTTTAGGGTTTAAGGTTTAGGGTTTAGGGTTTAGGGTTTAGGGTTTAGGGTGTAGGGTTTAGGCTCACATGTACACCTCACTTTACATTCGAAGCTACCAAAGGCAGGAGCTGCAATCGTGGTTCAGGCTTAGGGCTTAGCGGCTTGAATCGTGTCTTCGAGGTTTGGGTTTAATCTCTGCTTCGTGATTTCAGGCAGGGGGTTTAGGGTTTAGGGTTTAGGGTTTAGGGTTTAGGGTTCAGGGTTCAGGGTTCAGGGTTCAGGGTTTGTTGCCTCTCAGCATGCAAGACCTAGTCAGACGGTCGCTTTGCTTCGATCTGGTGGCGAGGACATGCCGATCCTCAGCCACCATGTGGACGACGGCTGAGCCTTGTTTTGGGTTTGGCTTGCGGGTGAAGCCTCAGGGTTTAGGGTTAGGGTTTAGGGTTTAGGGTTTAGGCTTGCAATCTTTGCAAGGACGTCCCAGAGTCCTAATTTGGCATACAGGGTTGCTGGGCTTAGTGGTGACAGCTGACAGGGTCATGCGGGCTCAGAATTTAGGCTACTTCGGGTTTCTTGAAGCCACAAGAAAAGGTGAAGTGACAACTGCTCACATCGCCAGCGGCAGGATTAGGGGTCTTAGCAGTGTAAGGACACAAGGATTGCGCTTCGGAGAAAGTGACGCGCCGAATGCTTGCTTGGTACTTTAGGGGGCCCAAATCCTAGAAGCCTATGGGTCTTTGGGCACAGGGTCGACACCAAAAAAAAGCTCAACCCTATTTGGACCCGCGATGCTGGTTTAGGCAAGCCGTCCATGAGCTGCATCATGGGGCATCTGTTTGCGAGTTACACGCCTGCAAGGTTGTTCAGGAATCCAAGGTAGTAGGCCTTCAGGGTCTGGGGGGGGGTTCTTGGTCTCGTGTTGCGGACTGCCAGTTTACCTGGGAATTTCTTGATCTGCTGCACAGGCCGCTGCGGCTCAAGTTGTATTCATTGCGCTTGAGGCTTAGGGTTTAGGGTCGTGGCTCAGAGTTACCGTTGTTTAGGTTGTGCAGGGCTTAGACATTCGACTTTAGGATGCTCTCAGTCGTAAGCCGGCGCCAGCACGTAATTCTCCCCAGGGCTTTGCCATTGAAACACCAACCACGTAAGTTTGACTCCAACATCTATTCCTCAACCAAGCAACAGCAAATGTAGCTATAAGTCAAATTACTTGTAGGGCTGGCAGGTTGAACGGGTATCAGGTTTCGGGTCAGGGTTAAATAGGGCACAGCAACGAAGAAAGCGCCACTCACGAAAGCGTGCCATGGCCCAAGCTGGCTACGCAGAGAGCTCGGAAAGCACGCCGGGCTGCCAGACTGTGATCTGCGCCGGGGTTTCGGCAGTGCTCTGCAGAAAGGACTCGGTGCTCGTGGCGGTGGAAGGCAGGACCTTGAACAGGGATTCGGGGGGCAGTTTAGGGTTTAGGGTTTGGGGTTTAGGGTTTAGGGTTTAGGGTTTGGGGTTTGGGGTTTGGGGTTTGGGGTTTAGGGTTGTTTAGGGGCCCCCCGATATCCCCTGGAATCCAAAAAACCACCTCCGTTGCATGCTGATGTCGGCTCTGTGAGTCGGCTAGGGGTGCAAGGTACTCACGAGCCATAAAGGGTTTACGGTTTAGGGTTTAGGGTTTAGGGTCTAGGGTCCAGGGTCTGGGGTTTAGGGTTTCCGTAAGCCCTAAGAACCCTAGCGCCCTGTAAGGCCTCTTAGGCCCATTGAATGGGCCCCCCTGGGTGTTGTGCGGCTTTTCTCTCAGGTGTTCTTCTCGCCCAAAAGCCTCGGGCCTCTTGCGCTCCAGAAAGCCCGGTCTCCGACCCCCACAGAATCCAGAGAACTTGGCTATCCCTGGAGCGCCACCCTGAACCCTGAACCCGAAAATAGACCCCGAACCCCGAACGCTACCCTAAACCCTAAACCCTAAACCCTAAACCCTAAACCCTAAACCCTAAACCCTAAACCCTAAACCCTATAGGGTTTAGGGTTTATAAACCCTAAACCCTAAACCCTAAACCCTAAACCCTAAACGCTAAACCCTAAACCCTAAACCCTAAACCCTCAACCCTAAACCCTCAACCCTAAACCCTAAACCCTGAACCCTGAACCCTGAACCCTGAACCCTGAACCCTGAACCCTGAACCCTGAACCCTGAACCCTGAACCCTGAACCCTAAACCCTAAACCCTAAACCCTAAACCCTAAACCCTAAACCCAAACTGCCTGGGGCAAAAGAGGTGCCGCGGAGCCCCGCCAGTTGCAGCTTGGCCCTGGCTCCTGCGCCTTGCTGGTCCGGGGCCAGGCCGCGAGCTTTTTGGGAGGCTTCGGGTTTAGGGTTCAGGTTTGTGGTTTGGGGTTTAGGGCTTAGGGTTTGGGATTCAGGGTTTGGGGTTTAGGGTTTAGGGTTTAGGGTTTAGGGTTTGGGGTTTAGGGTTTAGGGTTTGGGGTTCCCTCAACCTCAAGCCCGTTATTTCAAGGGTTCTAGAGGTACAGTTTCAGGGCCCCCAAGTTCTAAAGCCCAAACCCGAACACACACACAAACACCCCGATGACCCAGCCGAGCTATTTGCCTTGACTGGGCCTAGAAACCCTACGTCCAAAACCCCATATAATCCCTGCATATATACATATATGCATTTAACCTAAGTCCTAAACCCCATAGACCTTCTGAACCGTATAAGCCCCATAAGTCCTATAAACCCGAACCCCTATATGCCCTAAATAAGCCCTCTAAACGCTAGAAGTCTCATCTGCTCTATGCCCTATCGACCCTACATCCCCGACCTGCAGGTCTTCCAGCAGGGCGAGACGGAGGCAGCCCGGTATCCTTACTTTAGCCTTAGGGGTTCGGGGTGATCCTCATGGCCTTTTTGAGTTTTCCGGGTGTCTGAATTGGGCGAATAGGCTAAACTTAAGTCCATGTTTAGCAAGGTGCCATTGTGCAGCCAAGTAAAGCCCTTTGCCCCAAACCCCCACACCCCTACATCCTAAACCCTAAATCCAAGTAATCCCTAAGCCCTAGCCAAACCCCAAAGGCGCTACCCTGGAGTTTGGTGGCCCGCGCGCTTGCCCAGAGGGAGGGCTTGCAAGAGCTCCGACGGTGCCCTCGGAGGGTTTAGGGGGGTCGTGCGGAAGCTTCAAGGTTTTCGGGTAGGGTTTAGGGTTTAGGGTTTAGGGTTTAGGGTTTAGGGTTTAGGGTTTAGGGTTTAGGGTTCAGGCTCATCAGAGGGTTCTGTCCCATCCATACCCGCCCATCCAAACCCTGTATCTAGCCGACGAAGAGATGTTCTTGGCAACACCCTGTTCTAATTATTAAGGCCCCTGTGGTAAGGTTTTGTTTGGTGTTTGAGGTTTAGGGCTTCCAGTCCGGGGTCTAGTATTTCGGCTTTGAGCGACCGTGCAGCCGGGATGTTCGCGTCGCGACGTCCCTGTAATAGACTCCATGCCATACTTCCATAGACCCTTATTTGTAGCTCTTGTGGTACAACCAAGAAGTTGGTATGGAGATCTCGGCAACCCAAGAAGGGAGCGACAATCAATTTACGCCCCAAATTTGGGACCCACCATTATAATCCCGATTAAGACCTGTCTGTCAGTATAAGGGGAGAACATCCCTGCCCCAAGGCCTTAAACCCGAACACGGCTGTCGCAGAGTCGCAGGTACTTCTCCACTCTCCGCGGCTCTTTCTGGGTGGCCTACGTGCGGAAGGAAGCGACGATCTGCCTCTATACCGCCACGGACCTCTCGGGCATCATGCCCATGTGGCTCTGCATCCCTGAAGGGGATCTCTCAACAGGTCCTCCGCCCTCACATGCCAACCCTAAACAAGCAACAAAACTACAAAAGCCCTGTAAGCTCCAGACCTTTATTCCCTAAACTCTATAAACCTTAAAGCCCTCCTTTTTCATAAACCTCAAGCCGTGGACGGCCCAAAACAACGAAGCCCTGTTGACACTACTACCCCAGGGGGGAAGGTTCTGGAATGGGTTTTGGAGTTTAGGGTATTGGCTGGGCATCTGTCACCCCAAACCAACCACCCCCTCTCAACTCCCCCCCCTCCCAACCTCCCAACCAACCCCCTCACCCCCATGAACCCCAAACAAAACAATCAACAAGCCCTCAGAAACCCTAAAATCCTAAAGCCCTAAAACCCTAAGACCCTAAACCCCTAAAACCCGAAGACCCCAAGAGGCTGCCCCTGAAACCCTGAAACCCTAAACCCTAAACCCTAAACCCCCAAACCCTAAACCCTAAACCCTGAAACCGCCCAACTCCCAGGTGGCTTGGCCGAAGCGGCGACGGCGCCGCGCTGCTGGCGTCGGCCCATTGGCCCCTTCGGCAAGTTCCCCTGGCCACGGAGCTCCACAACCTGCGGCAGGTCACAGCTTAAACTGATGTTTAAGGGTTCAAGGGGTTAAGGTCACAAGGGTTTGAGAGGGTTATGGGCTTAAGGTTCGAAGGTTTTGAAGGATTCAGGGCTTCAAGGGTTTGAGGGTTTAAAGGTTCTACGGGTTTCGGGTTCGAAGGCTTGGGGGAAGGGGGTGGTTGAGGGTTCAAGGAGGTTTAGAGCGGAGGAGGGGGAGGATCGGGTCCCTCAATTGTTCTCCCTTTGAGGGCATCTGGTTTGTCACTTTTTTTCTTATACCAGCCCACGTCTTTAAGGTGTAGGCTTCAGTGTTGCCGAGTGCCAATTTGAAGTAACTCTTCATGTTTAGGCCTCTTCTTATGGTGGCATTTTGTCGGGCTCAAGGGATAGTACCTAGTTGAAGCTTTAAGGGTTTTAGGGTTTAGGGTTTCGGGTTTAGGGTTTAGGGTTTAGGGGTTTAGGGTTGTTGTGATGGGTCTTCATGGACCAACGTATAATGAAGCCGTTCTAAACGCCGGCCCCCACACCCTGAGCTCGCAAGGCCAGGAACCCAGAGTCGGCATTTGTGTGAAGCAGTTTTGTTGTTTAAACTTATTGTTTTTGATGAGTGTACATACAGGGTTCCTTATGAACCCCTGGTGAGCGTATATGTATGTTATATATATATATGTATATATATATATATATATACATGTGTATATGTATATTGGGTGTCCTTTTGGGGATACAAGTAACAAAAGAAACACATGTAAAACTCCAAGCTGCAAACCGCGAAGCCCCATGGATTAGTTGTGGTACCTAACATGATGAGGAAGGGAGCTGCTAGTAAGGCTCAGGGCAGTCTCCAAACCCTAAACCCTAAACCCTAAACCCTAAACCCTAAACCCTAAATCCTAAACCCTAAACCCTAAAACCCTAAACCCTTATAAGCCCCAACCCTAAAGGCCCAGAAACCCCGAAGCCCCTGCACAGGCGTGCCCGCGGCTCTTGCATCGGCTCTCTCCCGGTCTTGGCATCGAAGCCTCCGAGCCCGATCCTTTGTGGTACTTTACTGTAACTTTAGATCCTTACCTTTTTTGGGGGTTTATTGGGTTTCTTATTTAGATCCTTATACCTTTTTTGTGGTTTATTGGGTTTCTTATTTAGATCCTTATACCTTTTTGTGGTTTATTGGGTTTCTTATTTAGATCCTTATACCCTTTTTTGGGTTTATTGGGTTTTTTATTAAGGCAGCCAAAAGGTTAATTTATAGCCTCCTGAGTGCAGCCAAGGATCCCTTCTATGGTCTGCACGCGCCGCGTGGCTACGTGAGGGTAGGTTTTGGGGGGTTTTAGGGTTTAGGGTTTAGGGTTTAGGGTTTAGGGTTTGTAGAGTTTATAGGGCTTAGGGCTTTCAAGAATTTAGGGCTTAGGGGTTTTGAAGAGTTTGGGGTTTAGGTTTTGAAGAGTTCAGGGTTCAGGGGTTTTAGGGTTTGTAGAGCCTAGGCTCCCGGACGCTAATTCGTAGTTCCTTCTTCTGGAATCTGACTTGCATTGCGTTCTGCCAACCATGCAATCTGGACCTCAGAAAAGGAGCTACTCAGAAAGGTTTTGGTTGATTCGTCAGACCCGCAAAGGGGAACCCTAAACCCTAAACCCTAAACCCGAAACCCTAAACCCTAAAACCTAAACCCTAAACCCTAAACCCTAAACCCTAAACTCCCTAATCCCTAAACCCTAAACCCTAAACCCTAAACCCTAAACCCTAAGCCTAAACCCTAAGCAAAAGCGCCGTGAGGCCCGTCGCCTCAGAGATCTCCGACGGCTCCGCGCTGCGTCCGCTAGTGGTGCAGGCGGCCCGCCGATGCGTGGCGGGGGAGGACGGGGTTTAGGGTTTAGGGTTTAGGGTTTAGGGTTTAGGGTTTAGTGCGTACTTGTCTGTTTGGCCACTTAAGGTGGTGCTCCGGGCTTAGAGCTACTTGTGATCACAAGGGTGGTGGGTTTATGGTTTAGGGTTAAACCGAAACCTATAAAGCCATAAACCCTCCAACTATTCGATATGCTGGGCTTGTATATAGGGGAATGTCCTTACCACCAGGTAAAACCAGTAAAAACAATAGAACCTACAGTGCACAACGCACAAAGAACCTTCTGCTCGCTCCTTACTGTTCATGTTCGTTTACAGTACTACAAAGAAGCGAAAAACAACAGGATGAGCCCAGCTTTCAACCTTGGAACCCTAAACCCTAAACCCTAAACCCTAAACCCTAAACCCTAAACCCTAAACCCCAAACCCCAAACCCTAAACCCTAAACCAACTTAGCAAGAGGACAGGGTCGGGCTCCTTTTCAGCGGGGGCCTCGACTCGGGGCTCTTGGCCTTCCTCTTCGCCTCAAAACTGCTGGCTCCGTGCCCCGGGCCTGTTTCTTTTAGGGGGTCTGGGGGTTTAGGGTTTAGGGTTTAGGGTTTCCCCCCTTATACAAACCCCTTATACTCACAGTCCTTCATAGGGATGTACTAGAAGGTACTACAATCCCTATTCAGGATTGGTAGTATAAGGGGGAACATCCCAATATTAAGGCTTTAGGGTGAAACGAGGTGAGCACCTGCGGCCCGCCCAAGCATCCTTTTCTGGATATATTGAGTGTTTTGTAAAGGGTGCCTGGGGTGGTCTCGGTACGGTGTTGTGGTTGGGAGTTTAGGGTTGATAGGGCTTGGGTGTTTAGGTATTGCGCGTGTGCGTGTGGGTGCGCGTGCGCGTGCGGGTGTACATGTGCGTGCGCGTGTGTTTGTGGGTGTGCGTGTTTCCGCGCGCGCCCGCGCGCGCGGGTGTGTGTGTGTGTGTGTGTGTGTTTTTTTTTGGGGTGGTGGGGTGGGGTCTCTAGATTGTCGGGTTCCTGCCGTGCATTTCTGCGATGGAGTTTGTACGATTTAGAGGCCAGCCTGCAGACTATCCAGACCGCACAAAATCTGTTGTATGCGAGCTCAAGAGCAGCCGAGGTGCCAGTGCACTTGCTACACCGTGGGGTTTCCTGGCGAAATCAGCCACACAACCTGTGCTAATCAAAATTTGCAGCTGGGAAGCAGCTCTTTTACGGTTTTCAGGGTGCCTGTTGTTCTGGGGCAGGTTTCATCTGGAAGACAAGAAGATCAAGAACAAGTACGCCTACCCGGAAGACGTTTCGATGGCAGAGGCGGCTGCAAGGGAGATGAACTTGGAGTGGAAGCATCACATCATGGACCTTGCAGAGGCGGGCCAGAGATTGGGGATATCCTAAGCACCCGATCGATCCGATCATTGATCCGACATGAGGTATGCTATTTAGGGCAACCAGTCCTTAGTTATGATTGCTTGCACCACTTTGGCCACTTGGGCGTAGGCTGGGGGGGGGGGGGGTGTATAGGATCGAAAGAAAGTCGGCCCGAAGCTGAATCTCTCTTGAGTTCAGCGCCTGGGGTTTCGGCTTGGATCCCGCCTCCCAACAGAGCTTGAAACCCTGAATATATAGACCCAAGAAGCAAAAAAATCTAGGTCACACCGAATCATATACGGCCCTCAACCCCACTAAACTCCCTAAGAGCCCTCAACCTTCAGCCCCAAGAACCCTAAACCCTAAACCCTAAACCCTAAACCCTAAACCCTAAACCCTAAACCCTAAACCCTAAACCCTAAACCCTAAACCCTAAACCCTAAACCCAAGCCCTCTGACTCGCTGTGGCTGTCGAAAGGCGCGGCAGCTCCTCCTGGACTGTGCCTCCCTGGTGGCCGACTGGAACTCCGTGGCTGGGGTGCTGAAAAAGGGTTTAGGGTTTAGGGTTTAGGGTTTCGGGTCTAGGGTTTAGGGGGGGTGAGCAGTGGAGGAGTGGATCCCTGCCAGAGCCCGTGCGTCGCCCAATGGCTTATGGCAGCACCCTAAGCGGCCTAAACCCGAAATCCTCACCCCTAACTTTCCCTAAGCCCTAAGCCCTAAACACCCTCAAGCCTATAAACCCTCAACCCTCTAAACCCTAAACCCTATAAACCCTAAACCCTAAACCCTATAAACCCTAAACCCTAAACCCTATAAACCCTGAACCATACATTATAGAAACCTCATGAACTCCTACGTGGGTGTGAGGTGAAGGCCTCCGTGGGCATGACCATGCTGGCCGCTTGCCGCCTCGCGGCCGAGGCCTGCTATTGGGTTTGAGTGTTTAGGGTTTGGGGTTTGGGGTTTAGGGTTTAGGGCTTAGGGTTTAGGGTTTGGGGCTGCTTGGGTTTAGGGTTTAGGGTTTAGGGTTTAGGGTTTAGGGTTTAGGGTTTAGGGTTTAGGGTTTAGCTGGGCCTGCAGGTGTTCAGGTTAGCTCATTTTGTGAGGTTTCTGGCGGGTCTTGCGTCTTGAGGGTTGTGGGGCTCCCATGGTGTGGGGTGTGCGCCAGGGCATGAGGGCTGAAGGTTACGATAGGGTTTAGGGATTGTACTTGGGTTGCTTTTTGGCTCAGGTCTTCTAGGGTGGGAGATTCATGAGGTCTTTTCTTCTGTAGGACCCCCAACGCCCGCATTCTCTTGTTGTCAGGGCTCCGGGCACCCCATGCTTGTTCCAAAGGTTGTTGGGGACACTCGGGATGTATAGGCTCCAGGACAACACGTTTGGGTGTTTGGCTCTGCGAGGAAGAAGGGATGAGGGCTCAGGGCTTGAGCCTTTTGGTGCCCAAGGCTTGGAGAGATTTGTGCTCCAAGGGCCTGGGGTTCAGCGTTCAGCATGACCTGGTCGAAGTTGGGATCCACAATCCTGCCATCTTCCCTAGCACAAGATGGCAAGAACCGGCTGAAGCTTAACACAGCTGTTGAACTGTTTCATGCTTTAGCGGCTCTGCACTGCTTCCTCTACACTGCTTCCACCCAAACAAGCCGGTAAGACCCTGCAACCCCAAAACGAAAAGAACAACAAATCCCTAAAACCCTACACCCTGCCTCTGTCTGCGAGAAGGGGGCCATGATTAACATGTTCCCATGACCCTATCAGAGCTGTATTTCTATCAGCCCTGAACTCCCTACGCCCCCAAACCCTAAACCCTAAACCCTAAACCCTAACGCCATAGTCTTTCAGGACGGGGTCCGTGTGGTGCTGAGCGGGCTCGGCTCAGAAGAGGCCTTCGCAGGCGGCCAGCCATGAGACCCTTTAGCTGGTTCTTGGGAATGAGAGTTTAGGGTTTAGGGTTTAGGGTTTAGGGTTTAGGCTTATCCCTTAACGGGGCAGATAGTCGGATACCTACTTCCCAAGAGCCACTAAGAGCCGTCTCTTTCTTCAAGGGGTCTGTAGCGTGTTAGGGCTTTTGGGGGTTTATGGCCTGGCTTAAGCTCCTGAACCCCTTGAGTCCGTGAGCCCCACCCCTAAACCCCAAGACCCCAAACCCTAAACCCTAGACCCACACCCTAAACCGCCAATACCCTGCAACCCCAAGCCCCAAACCCCAAACCCCAAACCCCAAACCCCAAACCCCAAACCCCAAACCCTAAACCCTAAACCCCAAGCCCTCAACCCCAAGCCCTAAACTGCCAAAAGCCGCAGGTTACCAGCGCCACGCCCGCGCCTGCGTGGCCGGGGATGCGGCCACGGCGCGAGATCGCACCCTTGGCCTGGCCCAGTTGCCTGGTTCTCCAGTTGTGTGTGTATATAAGGTATATAAGTACTAAAGAGAGACAGAAACATATATATATATATATATATATGTGGCTGATACCTTTAGGGTTCTTTTTGCTTAGCCTGCATGTGTAGTATTTAAAAAACAAAGCAAAATGCTTCATTATATTTGTTCCTTTGCAACAACATACACGCTAGAAGTTACGGACTTCCTCATTGACTGAGATAATTGTTCACTGAACCGAAGCCCCAAAACCTAAACCCGTAAATCCTAAACCACAAATCCTAAACAAAACCCTAAAAAGAATGAACTTAGGGTATATATAAAGTTGAGGATGTAGGGTTGAGGGCTGCTCACAGCTCTACCGTTTCCTATCTGGTGCATGAAAGAGCTTCTCTATCTCGCAATACGTCGTGAGAGACCTCTAGCTTTTCGCAGGAAATGAGAGAGAGAGAGAGAGTTCTCTACTATGTCGAGTTTTCAGAAATAGCTTCTCTATCAATGAAGAAGCCATCAGAGAAGCCGTTTATCTCTTCATAGGAGATGACACAGCTCTTCTACCTTTTCTACTTGAGATCTCTCCTTTACTCTAACTAACAGTTTTGCAGGACTTTCTCTATCCCTTAAATGGGACAGGACACAACTCATCAATTTCTATCTTCTACGTGAGAGAACTTCTTCTATCTTTTAATAGGTCCTCTGAAAGCACCTATCTTTGTAGGAAATGAGAGACCGCCCTTGCCTCTTTTCATTTCCTCGAGAGAGAGAGAGAGAGAGAGAGAGAGAGAGAGAGAGAGAGAGAGAGAGATCTTTCATTGAAAACAAAATACAGGAGGACTTGCATGTCCCATTAGGAGAGAGAGAGAGAGAGAGGAGCTCTCGCATTCTGCATTAAAAGAAAGAGGACACGGCTCATTTCCATTTTCTATGAGAAGATAGAGGAGAGGGGGGGGGAGGGCTCTCTCATTTCCAAACACGACACAGAGGGACATAGAAAAGATATCTCATTTATTCGAAAGAGAGATCCTTCACTCAGAAAAAAACTAGTTCATTTCCAAGCAAACGAGGAGTTCTTTCATGTCCCATCTCTCATTATGATTAACAAGATGGATGACATCGATTCATGTCCGTTCTTTTGTTGGTTTATCAAAGGGTCTTTTCGTTTCCTATACAGGACTTCTTTTGTTTCTATGAGAAGATTAGAGGAGCTCTTTCATCTCCTACTCAGAGATAGAAGAGTACATTGGTAATGCATAAGAGATCAAAAGAGCTCTCTGATGTCCTATCTTTTTCATATGTCGTCAATAGGTAGGGGAATCCTCAGCTCTACCGTTTCCTATCTGGCACATGAAAGAGCTTCTCTATCTCGCAATACGTCGTGAGAGACCTCTAGCTTTTCGCAGGAAATGAGAGAGAGAGAGAGAGGGAGAGTGAGTTCTCTACTATGTCGAGTTTTCAGAAATAGCTTCTCTATCAATGAAGAGGTCATCAGAGAAGCCGTTTATCTCTTCATAGGAAATGACACAGCTCTTCTACCTTTTCTACTTGAGATCTCTCCTTTACTCTAACTAACAGTTTCGCAGGGCTTTCTCTATCCCTTAAATAGGACACGCCGCAACTCATCAATCTCTATCTTTTACATGAGAGGAGCCTTTCTCCTACTTGAAATGTTTCCTAGAAAGAGATATAGAACATCTCATTTCCTCGAGAGAGAGATCTTTCATTGAAAACAAAGGAGGAATTTCATGTCCCATTAGGAGAGAGAGGAGCTCTCTCATATGCTGCGTGAAAAGATACAGGGCATCGTCCATTTCCATTTTTACCATTTTCTATGAGAAGTTAGAGGGGAGGGGGAGGGGGGGAGGACTCTTTCATTTCCAATTACGAGACAGAGGGACCTAGAAGAGATATCTCATTTATTCGAAAGAGAGATCCTTCACTCAAAAAAAACTAGTTCATTTCCAAACAAAAGAGGAGCTCTTTCATGTCCCATCTCTCATGATGATTAACAAGATGGATGACATCAACTCATGTCCGTTCTTTTGTTGGTTTATCAAAGGGTCTTTTCGTTTCCTATACAGGACTTCTTTTGTTTCCTATGAGAAGATAGAGGAGCTCTTTCATCTCCTACTCAGAGATAGAAGAATGCACTGGTACTACATAAGAGATCATAAGAGCTCACTCATGTCCTATCGTTGTCATATGTCGTCAATAGGTAGAAGAATTCGCAGCTCTACCATTTCCTATCTTTTACATGAAAGAGCTTCTCTATCTCGCAATAGGTCATGAGACACCTGCTCCATCTTCTTGCAGGAAATGAAAGAGGAGTTCTCTATTATGTCTATTTTTCAGAAATAGTTTTTCAAGTAATGAAAGAAGCCGTTTATCTCTTATAGGAAATGACAGAGCTCTTCTACCTTTTTGCTTGAGATCTCTCCTTTGCCCTAAACAAAGTTTTGAAGGACTTTCTCTATCCCTTACATGGGACATGACACAGCTCGTCAATCTCAATCGTTTGCTTGAGAGAGTTTCTTCTATCTTTTAAGAGGTCATCCGAAAGCTCTTCTATCTCTTTGTAAGAAGTGACAGAGTGCCCTTGCTTTCTCTTTCACTTCCGCTTCTAAATGCGCAGTGAGCAAGCTTTTCTATCTCTTCTGTCTCCTAAATAGGTCATGAGAGGGCTCCCCTCTCTCACTCTTTTTACGCATTAAAAGATAGCGGACTTCGTTCGCTTCCATTCTTGCATTTCCTTTGAGAAGATAGAGGAGCTCATTCATCTCCTACTCAGAGATAAAGGAACTCATTCATAAAACGGATGGAAGCTCTCTGTGTTTTTCATGTCCTGTCACTAGGTAGGAGGAGCGCTCAGCTCTGCCATTTCCTACCTCTTACATGAAAGAGCTTCTCTCTATCTCGCAATAGGTCATGAGAAACCCTCCTCTATCTTTTTGCAGGAATGTATTTTGCAGGAAATAAGAGTTACATCTAATAATAGGAGTATTATTTCAATAGGAATCCTGTTCATCTTAATGTGAATGTTATTAAGATTAAGAAGAATTCTGTTAACGTGAATATGAATATGAATCTTACTACAATTCATCAAAAAACACATGAAAAGAATCCTATTCGTCTTGATATGATTCTGTCTAGAAATTAATGAGGTTCCTATAAATATCAGTATGAACGCTATTAATATCAAATAACTATTAAAACCTATAGATGAAAATCAGAAAAACAAGGGAAAATGGACATGTCCAAAAACGGCGTTTAGGGTTTAGGGTTTGAAGTGTTGGTTTGAAAGTTCTGGGTTTTGTATAGGCGAAAACCAATAAAAACCAGACCAAGATGGGACATGTCCAAAAACGGAGGTTGTAAGGAGTTGAAGACAGGCTAAGGGTTTATAAGGCGGCTTAGGGTTTAAGATTTCGGGTTTAGGGATCAGTGTTTCAAGTGTTGGTTTGAACGTTTTAAGGCTTGGTATTGGTGAACATCAGTAAAAACCAGGAAAAATTGAACATGTCCAAAAACGGAGGTTGCAAGGAGCTGAAGATAGGGTTTAATGCACCACTAAGCAAGACAACCGCAAATAGTATGCGAAGACGCACCAATAAGTATAACAACAGCATATAGAACGTGTAGGAAGCGAAGACGCGCCAATAAGCAAGACAAGCGCATCTAGATCGAAGACGCACCACTAAGCAAAACAACAGGCATATAGTAAGCGAAGACATAGAGGCAAGCAAAACAAGCACATACAGAGCAAAGACGCACCACTAAGCAAAACAACAATACTCTGGTTACGACTCGGTACTCGTATTGTATGTACATATTATACATATATATATGTACTCTGCATTTGTGAAACTGTTAAATTTTTCGTTTTCCTTTTTTGCGCTTTTTTCAAAAAGATCATTTGAAATGAAATTGGTGAAACAATAATAAACTAAACATATGTATAATCTTATATTCTTATTTTCCGGTTTTATTTTCAATTTAATATTGATGCACATGATAAATTAATATACCTCATAGATTCTGATATTACGGAGTCCCAGAAAGCATTAAAATTGTTAAGGTTTTGTCAGTTCTTTATTATTTGGTTATGTGATGTTTGGCTTCATGGTGCATCTTCGTATCAATTTATTTGTTTTCTCAATTTTACGTTAAAGGTAAAATCTATAAAATTAGCAAAATTGGTAAGTTTTTTATTTGTGGGGTTCCAGAAAACATTAACATTGATAAAAATGATAAAAATGATAAAATTGGCAAGTCTTTATCAATTTTTATTAATTTTATCAAGTTTATCAAATTACATTAAGTAAAACTGATAAAGTTGATAGGTACGACAGTACCAACATTTTCAAAGACAACCTCTAAGAAAATTTGGTACTGTTGAACTGCCTTGTTTTAAAGGAAACAGGGCGGTTCAACAGTACCAAATTTTCAGAGACAACCTCTAATAAAATTGCTCGAAAGAGTCGAATCACAAGCCCTGGTCCTTAAGAGTTTGGGTTAATGTTTTGCTCAAAAGAGTCAAATCGCAAGCCCTCTTCCCTAAGAGTTTGCGTTCTATTTTTGCCCAGAATAGTCAAATCGCAAGCCCTGGTCCTTAAGATTTTAGGCTCCTTTTTTGCTGCAAGGAGTCAAATCGCAAGCCATGGTCCCTAAGATTTTGAGCTCAACGCTTCATCCCTCTACTCACCAGTCTTATTCCATCGTCCCGCACACCTACCCGCTCACACCTCATCTACTCCATATTGCAGCGCACAATCACTTAATATTACACCTCCCTATTCGCGCACCTCTCTCTTAAGGTGAAGCTGCGAATTAAAGTTATCATAATTATAACTCCAGTTGGTGACTCTAAAGTTATCATAATTATGATAACTAAGGTTTGGGAACCTAAAGTTATCATAATTATGATAACTCAGGTTTGGGAACCTAAGGTTATCATAATTATGAGAACTCAGGTTTCGGAACCTAAAGTTATCATAATTATGATA